CTAAAAGTATCTGTATTTTGCTAATGAAGTTTTTGCATATTTTTAATAAACAGTGGCCAGTTTTGGTTACAGCACAACATTAATTAAAAATGAAATAAAAACATTTTTTCTCTGGCCCACAGATTTGATACATTTTTTGATACGGCCCTTTTACTGGTTGAGTTTGACACCCCTGTAGCAGGTAGACCTCAAGGACAAAAAATAAGAACATTAGAACATGGCCCTTTAAATCAGTGCAGGTTGGTGGTAGCTTAACAGTACCATTCCACAACAGGTTTCACATAGCATATCTGATTGTCCTAATTATCGCTGTATTAACCTGTATCACCTAACTGAGATGTAATTTATAGAAAGTGCCTCTGTAGGCTGTTGTCAGTAGTGTTACCTCCACCTACTGGTCACATTGGAGTACAGCAGGGGCCATTAGTTCTGGCCTGAAGAGCTGGAGTCTAGCACAGTCTTGTGACTTACCTGTTCAAACACACCTGATTCAACTCAGCATTAGCTGCCATAAGAGGCCATAAGAGGATGGCTTTTGAGTTTTTTTGAGTGTTGCATGTTGCTAATTTGTATCTTAAAGTCAGTCAAAACACCCATATCTTTATACCACCTCACATATATTATTACAATTGCTTAAATGTTATTTAGGTAGCCCCCTACAGGATGGATTCTGATGGTTAAATTATCAACAAACTATATGGTGAAACGTTCTCAACCTCTTTAGTGTTAGGGTCAAAAAGTATAGCTATACAATTCATAGCCAACAACCCACCCACCTCCACTGGCCCTTATCCTTCATGATTTATTTATTTATTTATTTTTTGTTCTACAAGAATAATATATGTAAATGTGCTAATTTCTGATTGGTTGTCCTAAACACTCTTTATGGGTGGATATCTGTAATTTTTGTGACATCACAAAACAATGAATTCAGAATAATTTTTGCAGCTCCATATAGCATTCATGGGCCTTATGAACTGGGTAAATAAGGTACAATTGGTCAGTCTGGTTCATTAAGAAAAAAAATATTGTTTTTCCACAATACGGGCCCTTTAATAAAACTCGGACACAGTATTTCCAAACCTGGAATAGTGCAAACACATTCAATTTAACTGTTAATAATACAATTACTCAAATAATAATAATAAATCTGTATAGAAATGACCATCTGGGCTTTCCAAATAATTGAGCTGGGAATCACTGCTGTAGTTAATGATCGAGTGAATTAGCTGTGAGCTAAAGATAAATGCTGCTGTTTGTACCTTTGTTCTCTGAGGTGGACTAATCTAATCACAGGAAATCAATACTTAGTTATTTCTCTCACTGAACTTTTCTTTTCATTAAAACAAAGGTCAAAAATGACTCATGTATTTCACAGCACTTTAGAAAACTGAAATCTGTGTCAGAGCAAGTTGTGTCTTGTTTGTGTGCCTTTCTGTGACATTCTGTTTCCTGCATTTTGTTTTTACCCTTGAGCTCCACTTTTGACATTTGTGTGGTTTTATGTACCAAAAACAGTCACAGTTGATTTTTACATGGCCATTTTTTAACCTCTCTTTATCTCTTAGAATTCAGTTTTGTTACTGTGACTTTAATATTAATATATGTAAATGATCTCTCTTCTGTTTGGCTGCCCTGTATTGTACCCCATTTAAAAGCAATCCAGACTGAAACACTCAGTGGAATGGGCAGAACTAAACTGCTGTAGACTGAATAGGTGGATACATGTAAATATGTTGGCTTTTTATGACATCACAAAAAAGTGAATTTAAAACAGGCTGTTTTTCCACCTTAGTTTCCATATATGGACTGTACAGACTGTGGAGTGAACCATACATTTTGAAACTTTCACAGTGTTTACATACTACATAATTTTAAAAAGTTAGAAAAATCAGGATTTCTTTTCATGATATGGGCCCTTTAAGGGCTGGTTTTATGGACAAGGATTAAGCTTAGTCTTGGACTAATTAGCAATGCCAATACTGATTCACTATTCCAAATTCGTTCAGTCCAGGCTCAGGCTTTATCTGGGTCTGGGAAACTGGTCCTATATGTTCATGTAAGTGTTGGCACTTTTTATGAAGACGCCAACTTTTCATTCTCATTATTACGTTGACCCTTTGCTAATCTGGACTCTGAGGTGGTTAGTCCAATTTTCTGAGAACACCAGCAGCTACTTTGTGTGATGTGCAAATTTTCCTTTTTGCAAATGTTCCTTTTCTTTGTCTACTTCCTTTTCTCAGTAAGGGCTTCTTGACAGCTACACACCCTTTCAGACCCTTTCAGCTTTAAGTACTGTTTATCTGATTGTCTTTTGAACCCCAGTTTTGGAAACTTTATTGTCCTTTAACTTTTTCCTTCTTTATGCAAATGGATTATCTGATATGTAAACGTCTCAGAAATATGTCCTTTAGTCATTTTAGATGCACATGAGAAGGAAATGTGAAGGCAGCTGAGGTGAGTTTGGGTAGTTGCTTGTGTGAATGTTAGTGTCTGTTTGAAGGGGGAACATAATGTCAGTATTTACTTAGGAAAGAGCTTTTGTTGGGAGGACACAGTTGTAACAGGCGTTTGTAAGGATGGAAGAGTTAAAGTGGCAGTATAGTGGACAAAAGAGTGGACAAATTAAATATTGCTAGATTTGATATCATACTTGGAGTTGTTAGCTTTTGTGTAATTTTCTGTTAAAAATATCTTTCCTGCCTTTTTTCTGACACAGAGTAATGAAAAACTTTTTCTTAATGACAGTTTTGACTAGAAATTGAATAAAGGGTGGTCTCTTTTGCATTATGTGAAGGTTCTTTAAACCCCAGCAAAAGTGGTTCTTCTGTAGCCTGAGGGGCCAAAATGTAACTGCTGCAAAATTTAAGGTGGAACTGAAAATTCCAATAAGAACTTCAGCTTTGCTGGCCTGTTACAGTTGGAGCTAAAATCAGCAGGAAGGTAGGTCTCCGGGAGCAGGGTTGGTGACAACTATTACATAGAATTGCTGAAAGAACTCTTCGTCGCACCTTTATTTTTTAGATCTTGGTGCTGGAGCTAAACGTACACCTTTCTTCCAGTGAGCCAAAGTCCTGTGAATAGCTCTAGTTTAAGAGTAACTATGTTAGTCTGACCTGGATCACATGCCTGGACTTAATGGGAAACATGACATCACTTACTTTCATTCATTACAGCTCACACGCAGTCCTATTAAATCACTGGCATCCTTATAAGTTTCTGTGAGGACAGAGTGTGAGTTCAACTTGGGTTTTGCTATATGTACAGTATAATGTTTTACCGTGATTTTGGATTAGTTTTAGTTTATATTATTTTAGGGAAACTTGCATAAGCTTTAACGTCTTTAGAATCTTTCTCAGTAACCCATAACGTTAAACTTGTGAATTCCTGACCATGTTTCCACAGGCTCAGCCTGTTTATGGCACTGGTCATAAAAATGCTTGCAGAATTTTTTAGCAAAAGACAAATAACAAAGGCAAATGTTACTTATTTCCTTATATGGTGGTTTCATCCAATACAAGATGTATTTAAACAAAAGTGAACCTGTACATAAAATTATTAGCAGTGATGTACATCATTTCTACGTTCACATGAAAAGACTCATGATTAAAATGTGACTAGGCCGGGACTGAACATGCCAGTCGGCTGACTTAAATTAAATCACACTCACGTCTGCACTACTAGGTCAGTTGAAAGGGTTCACAGCAGGATAATACAGCTACACTAACATACAGCTACAAAACTTCATATTGGTTGTGTATATTGATGCACATTAGTATAATTCTATTACACTGTGTGAGACTGAATGAGAGAATATTGTAAGAATATTATAAGTTTATTTAACTACTTCTAGTCATAGTTTTATTCATTTTAATATTATTTAGTGAAATTATCTCACTCTATTGGCATTTAATTTTGCTTTGTTTTTAGGGAATACGCTATATCTGCCAATATAGTGAGATATTTACATGCAGGGTAATTTGCAGATCAATGAATGAATAGTGAGATAACTCTTTCCAAGAAGCGATAAGTAATGTAATCACATTACAGTTTGAGATAAGTAATTAGTAACTTGTAACGGATTATGTTTTTTCTTTGAATAACTACCCCAACACTGAAGCTATCTATATGAACATTAACACTACCATTATGTGCACTCTGCCGAGCTTGTTCAGCAATCTTTTCTAATGGACAAAAGGAGTTTGCTCTGGGAATGAAATTACAAACACTTTGCTTTCTTCACTCTTTTTGTGTTTCTCTGCTGCACTTGGATAACTTTTTTTGATTTTCCCTCTGAACACTCAAAAACATGCTCTCCATGATCATACTCGTCTGTCTTTATGTAGTTGTGTCATCATGTAACAACATGGCTCGTCCATTACACTATGACCGGACCGAGGGGTGAGGCTGCATTGGAATTACTGAAAATAATCGCTACAGTCAGAAATTAAGGCTGTTTTTTTTTTTTTTCATAGTGTTTATATATTTTGGAATAGGTTATTTAACATCAACATGTACAGCATATTTAATATTTATTTTCATGGGGCCCTATGCTCATGGTGGCCCTCGACGGCTGCCTACCTTTGCCTAGTGCAAAGACAGCCTGTGCAGTTTTCCATCTTAAAAAACAGTTATGTCACATAATTGAAATTTGAGTCTCTGGTGACGAAGATCTTCAATCAACAGTTGCACACAGACTGAACAGCTTAGAATGTATGATGTAAAGCAGGTTGGTTTTGTCACGATTAAGCTTTTTTGTTTTTTATAAATATAATAAAAAGATCACCTTTTTAAAGTTTGATTTGTGTGTTAATAATATAACGTATTTGCTTTATGTGGTTTAATAAAAACGGTTGTTATTTTTTGTAAGAAGTGCTTCATGTTGTCTTTTTAATTGTACGAATCATTTGTGCGTGTGAATCGATTCACTTAAAAGAGTCGCTAAAGTAACGATTCATTCGCGAATCATCTATCGTGCCTCGGCTTGTTGAGGTTTTGTGAGTGACTCACAGAGCGAGGCGGCCGTTCACATCAGAGCCCAGAAACTCTCTAACCTCCGCCGTCACTGGACTTCACATCATGAAGCTTTCTGCTGCTTTCCGCCACGCTTGCCGGACCCACCGGTGTGGAACCGGACAGGTGAAGGTGTTCGGACCGCGGAGAAGCCCCACGACCCGTGGAGAGATGAGTGTCTGTTTGCCGGTTAGAGAAACTCACTTTACCTCCGGCGGCGGCGGCGGCAGTGGGAGCTCCGTTCAGCCCCTCAGCCTTCAGAAACAGAAAACCCTCAGCGCTGCACATGAAAACGCCACTAGGTAAGAACGAAGAAAGACTTTAAGGTGGTCCGTTCTGACCATGTCAACCTTCCAGAGGTAAACAAACCTGAAGCAAGTTTCTTAGCAACCGCGTTTGGACTGACAACGCTGAAGTCAGCTTCTTATTTGAATTTTCCCGTTCCACCTTAAATGGTGCAGCAACTCGCAAATAGGAAGCCAACTTCAACCACGTTTGTGGCCACAAACAATGTTTTGGCATTGTTTTCGCAAACTAGCCACCACGCTAAAGGCTAACGGGGTTGATTGCTCCACGTGTTGCCGGTATTGCCGGTGTTTGGGTGGAGATGCCCGGGCTGATGTAACTCTCACCCTCCCTCACATCACCAGCAGCAGCAGCAGCAGCACAGCCTGCCGGCGTACGTAGACCTGTTTATCACAGTCTCAGCCCAATGTGGCGTTTACAGTTTACAGTCTCCGCCGTATCGCAGATGGATAGTTTTGAATGTGTTCGCTAGAACAGGTTTACGTACTGCGAAGAAACCAGACGGAACGTGTTCAGTATGTTCCAAAAATAAGATGGAAGTGGTTAGTTTTTATAAAGAATCGAGTGTTTGTCGAAAGCGAAAGTAGGAACAGTGAGGAATTGTGTAAACCTTGGTGGTCCAATGGAATTGCCACGATTTGCTTACATTTGCATAAAGTTGATTCCTCAATAAATGAAATGCGGAGCTGATCCCAGATCTGCGTTTATTACTCTGAGAGGTTTGGTCGTCTACAGCAGTGCTTTTGACTCCTGAAGGTCCTCAGACTTGCAGAGCTGAGTATGCTGCCATGCCTTATTAGCCATCAGCTCATGATTAAGCTGGATAGTATTGATTCAGTTTAACATTGTTTTACATGTAGAGTAAGAATATCACTAAACAGTGGTTTAGGCAAAGGTAGGCAGCCTCCCAGGGTCCCCTTGAGCCAAGGGCCCCATGAAAATACACTTGAGATATACTGTACATGTTGATGCTAAACAACCTATTTCAAAATGTACATGCATTTTCAAAATAGCTGTTATTTGTGTTTGTAGCCTTCAATGAAGCCTCACCTTTCAGTCATAGTAAGAAAGGACTCGTCCAGGGGTCGCAACCCAAATGTTAAGAAGAGCATTTTGTCCTTTCAGCAAAAATCAAACCACCTTGGAAGCCATCTTGGCTGTAAATATGTCTTCGTATGAGCTAATGTCCTAGTATAGACTAAGAAAATATAATGTAAATGAAAACGCAGACCTTCTTTGTTCTAATTTTCCTGGTCCACCTTAAATGGTGTAACGGCTTCACCATTTAAGGTGAAACGGGAAAATTCGAACAAGAAGCTGATGAACGAGAAGCTGACCTCAGCTTCATGACTTTTTATTATTTGACAGTTTCTCCTTGCAGATTAAACATATCAGGAAACCAGCTGATTGCTTATGAATGCAAAGAAGTCCATACGTCTCCAAATGATCAGTGTTCTTCTTAAATCTCTTACTTTGCCGTTTTGTTAGCTACTAGCTGGGTGACACTGTTGTCTGCATTGCTATGGTGACCATCAGTCTGCACGCCAGTCTTCAGAGTTGAAGGTTGAATTAGCAGTTATATATATGAACTTCAGTGTTTAAGACCATTTATTGTTAAAACTTTTAGAACGATCGGCAAAGCTTTATTTTACTGCAAAGGGGAATTATTTTATTCTTACCTAAAAATCTAATTCTGCTGTGGAGCTGCAACAGTAACAGAGCCACATGTTGCCCTGGCCTAGTCCGTGTTGTTATGTGATGACATGGCTGCCTAAGGACAGTCTTGTATGAACAAGGCACTTAAGCAATAATCCACTTTGTGGACAGGAGGTTCTTCAGTGTGATCCCTCTAGGTGTTAAGAGGGAAAATCATAGTGCAGCAGAGAAATGCCAAAAGATGTAGGAAAGCAAAATGTTTGTCACCTCACTTCTGAAGCTAACTTTGTTTTTTTTCTTTCTTTTTTTTCTTCAGTCAGAGTGCTCAGGCTTAGAGTTTATGTTTTTTATAGATAGCTCCATTGTTGGGGTACTTAATCCCAAAAACAGTAATCTATTACAAGTTACTTCTCTCAAAATGTATTTGTATTATGCTACTGATTATTTGCTCATTGCATTATTTCTATGTTACCCTGTAGTACAGTGTCTCACTATACTGTCAGATAGCCTCGTTGTGCTTGTTTAGGCATATTTCTTAAACCATATTATTAAGTAAAAATGTATAGAAAAAAGTTAAATAATCTTATAATATTCTTACCACAATCTAATTCTCATAAAAGAGAATATTAGATGTGTCAAGTAGATTTAAGATGATGTCACTTGCCGAGATATCATTTTTTGCAGTCTGATGTCTCAACTAATTTAACAATGTGCATCCAAGGGGTCCCATTTCTGTCTTTTACCTAGAGCTCCAGAATCATTAAATCCGCCCCTGCCACTAAATGTCCTTGATTATATCACATGCTTAAAAGCATTTGATATCGCCTTGTGTGTAGGCAGATGAGCATGGGTAGGCTATGTGTTTTTGAAATGACCAAACCTGCATCATACATCACAGTGGTCTCTCTATCTACAGATTGTCTTGTTGTGTAACAGGACAGCTTGCTCATCTCTCCAGCCTGCTAATTATCTCACAATTTCTACTCTTGTCTGCAAGCACTTATTGAATAAAAACCCCAAGGCATGGACTTTGCAACCCAATTTTCCTGAGAAAAGTGTTTATAAATGTTTATGCATTGTCATCGGCCCAGAGTTCCCATACAGCTCAGTGCATTCCAACTAATAAGTTTAATAGCATTAATAAGGTTACTGAGACCATTTTCTCGATTTACTTATACTCTGTGCCATCAGAATATCTTACAGGCCTGGCAGGCTGTTTTTATTGGGCAGTTTTGTTTCCTTTTTTGTTCTCCTAAAATTACACCAGAGGGAGTCTAACACAGTTTTGTAAATGTTAACTACACAGAAAGTATATTTCCAAGAAGGAAACTTACTATTTATATCATTGTTCTTTTAATCCAATCTAAAGTACTTATATATGACCTACATTGTAGTTAACTGTCAGGTGGTGCATAACGATGAGTAACGTGTGCAAAATAGAATTAAAATCTAAAAACAAACCAGTGAGGCAACAGCAGTACTGCTGTTCAGTGGGTTATATTTCATGAATGTAATGCTCAATAACTAGTAAATATATCACAAAAAACTATAGCAAAAACTGAAACACAATGAATATGAAAAGGATGTCCAGATACACCTGTTTGTTCCTCATTACCTTCCAGCCTTCTCTCCTTTCCTCTCCTCATCTGTTTAAGACCCGTAACTGAAATAATCTGGGAATTAAATTATATACCCCCAGTTCTCTTAAAATATCGGATGCATAAAGATTTGTAGAAGTCCAAAATCATTTCATGCTAAGACCTATGGCAAAAATATAACACTGTGTTGTATTAAGACGTTTTCTCAATATACAACAAGTATAGAAATATTTAGTAGGTTTGCAAGCAACTTGGAACAGCAAAATGCACCAGCAAAACATAGTGCCACATTAAAAACAACCTATGAGCATAATTTGTTTGAGCATAACATTAGCAAAATAAACTGTCTAACAAGTGACAGGAGAAAAAAATCAAGCTATTGAAAAATAAAATAATGGCAAAATAGACTGACATCCATTCAGCCATTTGTTCTTGTGCAGGTTCTATGTACTTGTTATTTACAGGCTTTCGATAATTTGTGTAAATCTGTCTTTTTTATGATGCATGCAATTCAGTGTTCTACCCTCCAAAACCACAGCTGTAGTCACATTTGACATTCTTATACAACTTGGTAACATTCTAAGTAGCACTCTGCAGTTTAGTCCCCACATTGAATCAATAATGTCTTATTTGAAATGTAGGCTTTAAGTGTAGTATCTAATTAAGCAAGTAGTCAACCACTGTGTGTTCTTCTGTGAAGTAAAGATCTCACCCTAGGCCCGTATTTGTTTTGCATATTGATGAAATAAACTTAAAAGTACAGCAGCATTTTTTCCTCTTGATGGCGATAGTGTGGTGGTTCTCACACCTATTTTGTGCTTTTTCACCTTCTGTATCCCTGACGAAAGCCTTGAGCCATGCTGATTTCAGAATAGTAATAAAGGTTCATGTGTTTGCTCCATGTGTTTTACATATCATGTATCAAGAGCTGTGGTGCACAACCCTGGTCCTGGAGATCTACCACCCTGCAGAGTTTAGCTCTAATTCTAATTTAATACAACCGATCTGGTCAATGAAGGCTTTCGGGGGCATCTGAATATTAGAGCCAGGTGTTCTGAATCTGAACTCTACACAGTGGTAGAGGTACAGCACCAGGATTGAGCACCCCTGATTTAGATCTGTCCTCTCAGACTCCAAACATAATACAGACTAAAGACCTTTCCATTCAAGGCTATGCTAATATAAGTAGTTATGTGAATACTACTATTCCTGCTATAGAAGTGATCAGTGTGGAGGACTTTATATATGGGCCTCATATTGCAATGAGAGTGTGTGTTTAGGATTCATAAACTGCAAAAACCCACTACCTACCAAATTATTACTCTTCTCTCATTATTTTAGTTGTATAACGTCATAATGAACATTAGAAAAAATAAATGTACCTTAAAGTGTTCTTTGGAGTGATGCTATAACCACCTATGGTTCCCTAAAGAGCATTTGAAGAGCATCTGTTTTTGTAAGTGAGGTGTGTGAGTGTCAAGAATTCCTTTTCAAACTCCACAAAATGTTAAGGTTCTTCAGCAGGGGTGGTGAACTGAGGGCCAAAGTTCAGTACAGTGCGGCGATTTCCCTGCTCCAACACCCCAAGTACAGCTGGCGGTTAAACTGCTGAATTGAATCTAGGTATCTATGACCAGCGTTCCCCACCCCGATCTATACCATTTGGAAAATTAGACTTATGTGAAATCAGTCTCGTCTTTGATGATAAAAATAATATGGATTAGTAAAGCAAAAAGCCACTTGAGGCTGTGCGTTACTGTGATTTTATCATGCGAAAGGATGTTCTTAAAAACTCCCTTCCCCAAAAATAAGATAAAAATACAGATTTTTTTCAGCAAATAAATTGTTATTCTTAAAAATAATCCACATAAACAAGTTTTCTGCCAAGAAATGTAGTTCTTTTAGACTGTGGTATCATTGCCAAGCAAGTATAGATTGCTGAATGAGGAGATGATAACACAGCACTGTTTAATGCAAAAACGTTTGCTTAAAAAAGCACTTTTTCGCTCACCAAGTAACCAGTTATGAAAAGAAGTTGTAAGTTTCTTAGTTTAAACAGAGCCAGGTTCTTACTTAATCAGTACATTTGGTGGTCCATGTGAGCAGCATTAGATTCAAAGATTTTTCCATTACCAGCAGAAGGATTTTTTATGCCATGGCGCAGTAATACAGTGTGTGTATACCTTGTATTTTACAATGGCTTTGAACATACCTCAGCCAATCAGAGTTTAGGACCACAGCTATTAATTTTATAAAAGAATTTTGGGTCTTTTGTTGGTAACTTAGTCGTCATATAAAGTTTTCATTTTTAAAAAAGTTTTAGAGCTTGTTTAAGTTAATAACTACAGTGTCTTTAGGGTTAGCACACCTAAAATAAGGGGAAATAGTAGGAGATGTGGGAGGGGCAGTGTCTGCTATTGTAGAGAATTCTAAATCAATGATGCGTTCACTAGATTGAATAAGTGCTTTTTTTCCAGATATGTTTCTGTGTCTCTCTCTAACAGGGAGATCATCCAGAGGAGCAGAGAGGAGCTCGCTTCTGTGGTCAAAGCCCATCCAGCCATCAAACCCACACTGGCCATCTTACAGGTATTATATAATGGATAAGGGGTGTGTGTCATCTACATTGTAGTTGACCCACATAATGCGATCATGTATATCATAATAACTGTTCCAATGTATTTTGTGTGTGACAGGCTGGTGAAGATGATAGTCTGCTGGAGATGAATAAGAAGATGGCTGGCAAGGTTTGTGTTTCTTTACTCTTTACTCTGACACTTTGCTTCCTAGTAGTAAGTAGCATCTTATTTGTCATCACAGTATATGTAATCCTTCTTTATTTGTTGCAGCATTTCAAAATGCCAGCTGCTCTTTTATCAAAATCCTATTGGTATTGAAGGAGAACTTCTTTAAAAAGAGATTGACATCAGACAGGTGTTTATATTTGACCAATAATCCTATTAAAAACAGTATTTGATAATGTATTAATTGTACTCTGGAAGAGCAGAATATTTAGGTGATGCTGATCTACAGGGCTAAAATGTTAATTTTACTGCTTTTATAACTCTCTAGAAGGAAGTGTTAATTTCTCTGTAATGCTGATCCAAGTTGAAATAGTGGAGACTGCTTTGGGACTGCTTTATTTCCTATATCGGTGCATCCCTAATACAGTATGAGTGAACATAACAGATGGGCCAGTAGAAATGATAACTAAGAGCAAATTTATTTACGTTAACGCACATTAAAGTCAAGAGCGTGTGGAGATGCATTTTGTTTTCTGTATTTTACTTTTTTGGTCCTGTTTAACTGAGTTATGTTCTCTCCTTATAGGTAGGCCTGAACGTGATGCAGATATGTCTCCCACGACAGTGCACAGAGGAAGAGGTCAGTTACTATTCCGTACTCAGTTATGTGTGACTTTTACATAGAGCTGGCACTGATCTGTATCAGTATCAATGCAAAATCAGCAGAAAATGTTAGTTTTCAGAGGAAAAAAGAATCAATCTGATCTAAATGTATTCTGAAACATCTGTGGTATTTGTGGTGAATGTTTGAGTTGTTTGAGCATGATGGCCTACTTTTCGATGAAGTGAAGTTCTTCAGTAAAAACTAGTTTTGAAACTTAGTCATATGCAGAAATGAGGGCACCCCCAGGCAAATTGCATGTTTTGTTTTTTTTTTTTAAGTAATTGCAACGTAATACATCTTCAGAGAACACGCATCTGCACATGAATCATGAATGCATGATAGTGTATTATTTTAAGTTTTATTTTTTCCAATATGTTAAGCAATAGAAAGTGTACACTACAATTTGCTGAGAATGCCATGTTTAAGGTTGCCTCCTTGTAAAGGATGTTATTTTATGTTCACGTAGACAGTCAACAAAAAATTTGATCGGGTTGTATACGGCTGTATGTGTTCTTATAGATCAGTATTATCCAGTACTCAAGGTTTCAGAAAAGTGGATTGTACCATTTCATTTAAACAACCTTTCTGAATTATTTCTGTGCTCAAGCTTTATCCTCTTTCTTCCTGATCGTGTTCTTCTGTAGGTTTTGGAGGAAGTCCTGAGGCTGAACGAGGACCCGAACGTTCATGGTGTGTTCCTGTGTCTTCCCCCCTCATTGCTCTCCAGGAAAATAATCAACATCATGAAACCTGAGAAGGATGTGGACGGGTACTTATTGTGTGTGTGTGTGTGTGTGTGTGTGTGTGTGTGTGTGTGTGTGGTTGTGGATTTGTGTGTAAAGCTGTGTTTGCTCATGGCTAATGTTTGTACTGAGCTTACATACACTGTTGTTCAAAAGTTTGGAATCACTGTTTCAAATAATACAAAAGCAGCTTAGTTCCAGAGGCCCTATGTAAGATAATCCTGATATGATGCTATTGTTCCTACTAGAAATGTTAGAATGATGATCTGAGCTGCTGGTGATAATATAATAAATGAGAAAAGTATAACATAAGAATTTAAGTTATAATAAATTTAATATCCAGAGTGTTTTTGTATGTGTATGTATTTGTAGGGTTTCAGATCTGAATGTGGGACGTCTGGTTTCAGGAGCTCTTTCTGAAGGGCTTCCCTCACCTGTAGCTGGAGCTGTGCTGGAACTGCTGGCCAGACATGGTGAGTGTGTGTATGTGTGTGGTGTGATCTGTCGGCATCTTCAGACAGGGGTCATTAATTTCAGTCTGCCACTTTAATATATTTGGGTCTTTTGAAGTTTTTGGAATTAAGCTTTAGATCTATCTTATGCTCTATTGTATTGATTCTGTTGACTGTCCAGTCCAACAGACCCACTGTGGAAAGTTTATATCAGGTTCACATTTTGATAGCATACAAGCAAGAGAAGGAAAATATCACAGTTGTGAATTTGAACAGGTATATATGTCCCAAATCTTTAGCAGAGACTGATAATTCACCTTTCATCTGCCACATTTTCAGCTGCATAACATGGATCATATGGATAAAATTGCATATTGTCTTTATACTGCTAGTACATATTGCAGTTGCTGTCAAATAATAACTAGTGTATTAAAACACATTTGTGAGTCCTTGATGTGACATGGTTAAAGGGGAGTTTTACTGTTTTTTCTGCATAATTCAGTTGTTGAGATGTAAACCAAGTCATTCAGAGTCATTTGATGTGAAATTTGGGTTTTTGGATTTACACTGGTGGTGATATGAAGCAGGAGTTCTGATGTGTACAATGCAAATACACCCCCAGAGGTGTGCGATATGGCAAAAATATAATATCATGATATAACAACATGTCAACAGGAGCCCCACATTTACAGCAATTCGCCAGAAGCCTCCTCATTTAGGAAATCTGTTAATTTGTCTTTTTTGCCATCTGCAACTACAGAAGTTATATATAAAAAAAGTGGGTTGACTGGAACATGAATATTGAATGGTGGGCACTGCCCCACTAAATGGCCCCCTGATCCTGGGGCTGCTTGGCAAGTTCTGTAGAAATTTCATGACGAACCACTCTGAATAACTTTTGTTTGTTTATTTATTATAAGTGAAATTCCTCTTTAAAGATTGGCCTGTAATATTGGCCTTGATTAAAAATGACTTGCAAATGACTAAAATGCATTTGTTGGATCATGAATGCCTTGGTTCATCCTAACATCCACAGAAACATTTATCCATAGCATCTTTGGTTGATTTAAGTTGTGTCACCTTTATGTTCAGATGCTCCTCTGGCTGGAAAGACAGCAGTGCTGGTTGGTCTAGAAGGGCCTCTGAAGGTGGTTCTCCAGGTCCTCCTGCAGAGTGATGGAATGGAAGTCCAGACTAGCCTCTGGAGCTCAGACAGTCTGCAGAAACAGGTATGCTATTCTGGATGAGTAGTTTCAGACTGCTGGTTTCTTTAAGGTTTAAAGACATTAGCTAAGGTGAACAGTAACTATATGTTGTAGTGTTGCCAAACCACTAAATGCGCAGCATTGCCAAACCTCCATGTGATCCTGCTCTGTTAAAATTTGCCATCAAAATATTAGTGGCTAGGCTTCGCTTCATTATGTGCTTCTTTAGAGGACAATCTTGAGAATCTAATGGAATATAAAAAAATAGTGGAGGACTCTGTTCTTTATGGAATATGGAAGTGAAAAAGAAACAGATCTGAATTTGAATCTTTAATATTTGAATATCGGTCTGAATTTCTCTCAAGTTGAGATTATTTACTGTGAATGGAATTGATTTTGTGATATGAAGCACACTCTTCATATCTAAAATCTTGGAGTAAATTTAAAATTCCGTAAGATTTTCTGCATTCCTTGTCTCAAACTTAGACACTTGTGCGGTGTGAATTTGAGCATTTGTGTTTGTGTCAGCAGGGGGCAGCACAACTGCATCTGGATAATGTGTTCACTTGTCTCTTATTAAGCTCCCACTCCTGTTCATAATGTCTTAGGCCAACAATTAATTTTAATTATTCATAAAAATCTGTTTAAATAATCAACAGTTGTTCACAGTGTGGTAGAGAAACTTACTGACTTATTGTTTACACTGGTGGTGATGTGAACCAGGGTTGCAGTGTATACAACACAAATATAGCCATTTTATTTACTATCTGAATTCACCTGTGAATCTGCATGTCTGCTGAGTTTTATGTGTAGTACTAATTATGATAAAGTAATGATAAATATGAAAAATTACACTAGAATTATGTATTTTTAATCAAACCACTCTAAATGTCTTTATGTAAATAATAATATTTGGATTATTCATAAAATTTGGAAAATCACAGTGGAATTAATTGCTACCCTGTTATTTCACATTCACATAAATACCCTTTTATTCTTTTTTTCTTCTCTTTTTTTCATTTCTTTTCATTTGTTTCTATTCACAGATCAAGCGAGCAGATGTAGTTGTTGTAATGGGGACTGGAAGCGTGGAACTCCCACCCAGCTGGTTCAAACCAGGGGTGACCCTCATTAACTGTGGCTCAGCCTTAATGCCAGGTGTGGTCTTCTTATGGTGTCTGAGTGCATTAAATGTACTTTCTGCATTGCATATTCAAAAAAAGCGTTGTTCCACGTGTGTGTGGCGTCTTTCCTCTCTGGAATGTCAGACTCTCAGTATGCAATCCTTTCTATTCATTTAAGGAGTGAATTAATAGTACTATATCTCTGCTGTATCTCCCAGAGTCCCCAGCCAGTGAGGAGAGGAGGATGGATGCTGAAAGCTGGGCAGAGATTGGCTCAATAAGCGCAGCCTTAAGGATGCAGGTCAGTTGCCCCTTCTGTTTTCAACTGACATCTCTGATTCCAGTTAGATTCAAAACACGGCTGCACTAGTTTTAATGTCAGTTTCCATAACATGTCATCACAAACAGTAGAGAAAAAATGGTAACAATATAGTGTGCTCTAAAAAAAATGATGCATTCGTTCACAACACACTTTTGTGTTAAGACTACTTTAACAAACTTTGTCAGGGCACACAAACACAGCACGTAATTGAAATCCATATTTGTCTGACCTGATTATGGCTTTATTTAAGATAGCTCATTGGTGGGTTAAAGTAAGACAAAATTTGTTCTCCATAACTGTCATCAGTACCTGCAGTGTTTGAAATATATATGTGTGTAAATGTGCTCTAACAGAACGTGGTGAGGAGCAGCATGAGGTGGGTGGAAAATCAGCAGTATCAGCCATGGACGCTTCGCCCACTTAAGCTCCAGCCACTATCACCTGTGCCCAGGTAAGATTACAAAAACCTCCCTTATGCTGTGTTACATGTTGTCGTTGATAAAGCTGTCATTCCATACCTCCATACCGACAGTAACATAAAGCCATGGAAACATTGGCATGGTGTGTTCCAAATGGTTTGTAGGTACTTAAAAAAAATCAAATCAAAGGGTTGAAGTTTAAAGTCTTAAATTTGAATTGACGTGGTCTTAGATTTTAGGATACAGACTGTTGTGTGTTGTAGACAAGACCATTAGATGGCGAGTCCGAGTCAAGACAGAGACCAGATTACTTTTTTTCCAGAATAAAAAAATATTATGTAAGGGGGGGGGCATTTATATTCAGCTGTAGTTCATTGTACTTTTGTGATAATTCAGTATAAATGATGTATATTAATACATAATATTTTGTAGTATATACTATGGGTCAAAAGTTTTAGAACACCCCTGTTTTTGCAGCTTATTTGAATATTTACAAAATATTTGCATTCTGATATTAAAGCATAGAGCAAATAAACAATTAGAGATAGAAGAAATAACAACATTATATCAAAGTTTTGATTCATCAAAGTAGCCAAATGCTGTGGTAGCCCACTTGGTTCAGGGTGCTAGTCACTTTTTGGGAGTCGCCAGCTCTGGATCCAGCAGAAGAGCCACAGACCATGACATTTGATGTGCAGCCATCCTTTTGCCTATTCGATGCTGAACAAAAAACCTTGCGTGATGACCCGAAAATTTTAGATTTTCATTCATTGGTCCGTAAGACCTTCTTCCAGGCTTCAGTAGTCCACTGACGGTGCTGTATGGCCCAGGAAAGCCTCTTTTGTTTTATTTTGCCTTCTTAACAATGGTCTTACTGCCACTGGGCCTGTCAAACCTTCTTTGCTATTTTACATTGAGAAACGTTATTCTTGAATTGTTGCATTATTTGCCCAAACAGTCTTTCACAGAGTGTTGAACCCCTCCCCATCTTTACATCTGAAAGCCTCTCTGAGATGCTGTTTTTATACCCAATCAGGTTACTGACCTATTGCCAATTAACCACTAGGTGATTTGCACATCATTGCATTCTGTTTTTATTCATATTTGTGTCCCAACTTTTTTTGGAAACCTTATTTTACACAGAGACGCATGAATATACATGCAAGTTACTTTAAATGGTGTCTTTATATTTGGTGAATTGGCATTACATATTTGGTCTTAAATTGCTTTTGAAGTAACATAACATAGTATTTACAAATCTTAATTTTTTTTTTGATGCCTGCAGACATCCTGCTATTCCCTACATAGCGTTTGCTGTATAGTGAACCCACTGGGGAACAATGGTTGAAGAGCTTTAGCTTTAAGAATGCCAGCAAGTTATAAAATACGTGACACACTGTACCCATATGCTATTTCTCTGATATGGAGTGAATCTGAACAGAGCACACTGCTTTTTCCTCTCTCTTTGTGTTGTTCACCCTGTACTCTTTGTATCTGTTGTGTACACAGTGATATAGAGATCTCCAGAGCTCAGACCCCAAAGCCCATAGTGCAGCTTGCTGAGGAGATTGGCCTACTGCCGGAGGAGCTGGAGGCTTACGGCCGCACCAAGGCTAAAGTTCGTCTGTCTCTGCTCACACGCCTGCAGCACCAGCCCAACGGCAAATACGTCCTGGTGGCAGGGTGAGACTGCTCCGTTTGTTGGAATTGTTTTTTAAGCTCTCAGAGTAATTTCTGATTTTCAGTTAGTCATTGATTCATTTTTTTTGGGTGTCTGAAGTTCTTTAGTTTTGGGCTTGAGCTACAAGACTAACAGTTAGCTAACAAGTAATGGAAGCCTACACCTCACTAACTAGCGTCCTATGAACTGCACGCCTAAATCATCACACACTTAAGTGGGAGTTCCACTGATTTTTCAAACTGCATAATTCAGTATCTGAGGTGTAAATAAATAAATAATGTGGTTCAGAGGGGTTTGATATGAAATGGTTCATCATAGAGAAACTTAAAAACTTTACAGTGGTGGTGATAGATACTGGGTGTGCAAGGTCTACAATGTAAATTATATCATTTAATCAATATATGTATTATGCAAATTGACCAGTGTATCTAAACACATCTAAGTTTTTATATGTAATGTTGTTTACTGTAAAATAGCTTCAGGAATCTATTTTGCCTTACTACACTTGCATGTTCCGTTCCACCATGAATGCATTTTAAAAATATGCTTTCAGGCCAAAAGCATATCTAAAAACTGTCAGGCAGCATATTCATAACTATTTCATGCAGTAGCTTTCTGTGTGGTAGCTTCTGGGGATATTTAACCTGTTGGTGATAGGTGTTAAGAACCAGAAACCCAAGTTTCGCTAGAACAGAGCATTTCACATCAGACCACTCGTAACTCTGACCACTCAACTTTGTTTACATCTTAACGATGTATGGTGCAGACATTCGCAATTTGGTTGAATTCCCCTAAAACCACACACTTTGGACATGAGACTAGTTCTAGCTGATCAGCTACATTTGGGGAAATTTTGTGCATCAGATCACTGAACTGTTGCTTTTAGTAAGGTAAATTTGTCAGTAAAATTTGTCAGTTGGTAATCCAGAGCATCTGAAATACTATTAAACATAAGATAGAGCAACAAACTAAAATTTGAAGGAAGCATTTGCGATCACATTAAACGGACAAGTTATGAAAGGCAGCTGTACTCGAACAGAGACAAATTAATTTCCACAAATAAACAGCTATGGAATGTGTGGATACAGTAAGTTCTTCTGGACAAAGCTGGAGAAGTGAGCTGCAGGTGAATGCTGATCATCGGGCTCTGTCTTTGTTTGTGAGGGCTCTTTGAATTCCTTGACAGAATGAGTGGTGGGTACTCTGAGGGCTCTTATCTGCCCTCTCCGAGGCCTCGCTTTCATCTGTGCGTGTGTGTGTGTATGTGAGAAGCATGGCTGAGGCCGGCCCGGCCAGGGGCCCATGGGCGCTTTCATGTTGCTGGAGAATGTGTGGAGCCCCTTTATAAACCCCCCACTCTTTCCTCCTTCTTAAAGTATAGCTTTGTTCTTCGTGCAGACGCTCTGAAGCCCACTCCCTCCACTCAATTACTGTCTGCCAGCAGGATGCCTTTGCTGCACTGCCAGCAACTCCAGTCTACAGGCAGGGGGAAGGTGGGGGTTGGTGTTGACGAGGGTGAAAAGGGGCTGTTAGGGTGTGAGAGGGCAAAAATGAAGAGTAAAAGACTGTTGGTAACTTACAGTTTAAGGACAACTTAATAGGAGCTACTCAAGTCTTTGCTGTCTTTAGCAATACCTGTTTGTTTATGCATTCTTCTAAAATTAGTACTTCCAGTTCTAACATTTGGTTGGTTGAGCTGCACTTAAAGTTGCTGTCAAAAACTTGATATAGACACATATATGATTGAAATGCCATGTTTAAAAAAAATGCTGTTCAAAGAATCATCTTTGACCTAGGAGTGAGCAGTGTGTAAATATGTATCATCGTTGTTATAAATGATATCACATTACATTACAGTAAGCTTTTCTTCAGTATATTATGGGTTTTGTCAGTACTTAAACAACAGTAAACTGCATGTTTCATTGCAAAGAGAGCAAAATTAAGTCTGAAGTTAATTAGATTTAGAATTTGAAACATTGAATAAAAATCATTGTAATGTATTGATGGTAGGTGTGTGTGTGTGTGTGTGTGTGTGTTTTAACCTATTAAACCTCAGGAAGAACTCCATATTATAATGCATATGCTATATCAAAATGACTAAGTATTATGCTGTTATAGTTTTGCCTGCTTTACGTTGCTAGGCAGCAGTAGCCTACTGTTGCTTGGTGGAGGTTCAGTTATTTCTAATGGCGTTATAATTGTGTATTGCATAATAATAAAAGTTTCGCTTCATGTTGTGATATGTTAACTGTTGTGAAATCACTAACACACAGCGTCAAGTGGTTGATTGCTTTAGTTTACTGTCTTGTGTTTGTCTGCTGTAGCATCACTCCTACACCTCTTGGCGAGGGCAAAAGCACAGTGACCATCGGTCTGGTCCAGGCACTTTCTGCTCACCTGAAACTCAACTCTTTTGCCTGCCTCAGACAGCCCTCTCAAGGCCCCACGTTTGGAGTCAAAGGTATGCATGCATTCATAAGAATATCCTCAAGACACACTATATGTCCGAAAGTCTGTAAACACCTGCTCATCCAGTGTTTCTTTTGTAATTAAGGGTATTAACAGGGAGTTTGTCCACTTTAGCCGCAGTAACAGCCTCTACTCTTCTGGGAAGGCTTTACACTAGATGTTTGAACATTTGCTTTGAGGATTTGGTTGCATTCAGCCACAAGAGCATTAGTGAGGTTGGGTACTGATGTTGGATGATTAGTTCTGCATCACAAACTCCACCAACTCATCCTAAAAGTAGTGGATGGAACTCCAGAGAACACAGTTCCACTGCTCTACAGCCTAATGCTGGGGGGCTTTATTCCCCTCTGTCCAGTGTTTGGCATTGGGCATAGTGACCTTAGGTTCATGTGCGGCTGTTTCAGATTATCTCGTTCTATTGGCAGTGCTTTTCTGTGTAGACTATAAAAGCTGTCTGTGGGCAGTCGATCTCCTGTATTGGCACTGGGTGTGCCTTAAAGTAAATAAATTTACAGTTAGGAAGGGTGTCTGGATATATTTGGGTACTTATTAATGGCCAACAAATTATGTGCCATTGTAAATACATATGTATTTAATTAATTTTATTTCTCTCTCTGCCTGTCTCTTTCTCCCTCTGCAGGAGGGGCTGCAGGTGGGGGCTATGCTCAAGTCATCCCTATGGAAGAGGTGAGAATTCGAGGCTCATCTGCAGGATATATTAAGGAATTCTCTATACACCCCCTGCACCTTCCACAGCTCAAAGCAGGATGCACAGCGTGCACATACTCAGCGATACAAATGCGCACATACACACATACAAATGCAGGACATAGATAAGTAGCTATGTGTTTGTGTTGAGTACTCAGGACACACACGCACACACAGTGCTTTAGGGTTTGGTGAATAAACAAATGCAGTATAATGCAATAGGGTAGACCTGCTATAGTCATGGAATTTGAGTTGATTACTGTGATTTAACAATTTGTGGGTTTTTTTGTGTGTGTGTTCATTGTATGCAGTTATTGAGTCATTGACAAATAATAGTCAATTAAATCGTGCAGTTATTGAAGTAAGTCTAAAGTGGTCAAACTCTAGAACATAATTGCGGTCAGCTTAAATAATTGCGATCAGGTGATTATGTAGTTGTGACAGGCCTATAAGTGGGTGATTATTTAGACATGCAGTTTCACAAGGCTAATTGCTATGGTGTAAGCTGCTATTAGTTGCTAGCTACATTAGTCTTAAAGCTCCAGTGCATTTGGAAAGAAACAAAATGTCTGGAGATGGCACAATATCACTTTCTTTCTGATGCCAATATTGATGTTGAATCATTAAGAATAATCCAGCAATGATATCAAAATAATGTTTAATCTTTAAAAACTAACAAGCTATTTATTAGTTTTACTAACAAGCACTTCAAGATAAGCATGACGGCCTACTTTGCTTATGTGCTTAGCTTATGTGCTACTACTTCACAGGAAGAACTATACAGCTCATATCACATCACACAGTGTGAAAGTGCTATTTCAGGATAGATTTGTTACAGAACTGGATCAGATCTGATGTCCGATCCAGTATTTTCTGCTAATATAAGCCCCATATTGATACTTGGTATTGGATTGGTGCAATCTCTAGTCTTGTCTGGTCATCTACTTTTGGAGAAAGAGAAAAGTTGCTTTCAACATATTTTGAGTAATTACAAATATATGCCTTTATTTTTGATTGTGTTTCTCTCTCTCTCTCTCACTGTGTTTCAGTTTAATCTCCACCTCACTGGTGATATCCATGCCATTACTGCAGCTAACAACCTGGTGGCAGCAGCTGTTGATGCCCGCATCCTGCACGAAGCTACCCAGTCAGACAAGGTGCTTGAGTAGACAGAAGTGTGATGCACTTTAATGCATACTTTATCTAAAAGACTCTAAGAAAAGTCCAAACCAATGCTGATATAAGACAGTGATATAGTATCCTGGAAATTTTGCATCGTTGATATCTGTATTAAATTTGACTTTCATTTTTTCTAAAGACTGTGTGTCAGTGATCATCAAAAAGTTGACTTTTCTAAAATCTGTCACTTGCCATAGCTTGTAGCTATAAAGTCTGAACTGTGTTGTCCTCCTCTCAGGCCTTGTATAACAGACTTGTGCCATCTGTTAATGGAGTGAGACGCTTCTCTCCAATACAGCTGGGCAGACTGCAGGTAAGTTCACAGCTCCCTTCCAGACCTCTCTAAAACATCAGCATATTCCTTGTCAGTAAGCTGATCTCATGGACCTCAGTGTCAGATTAAAAACTAATACAAATCTAGGGGCCAGTGTGGCTGCAGGCTTTCATTCCAACAAAGCAGGAGCACACCTGATGAATTATTTTAAGACTGAGACCAACTGCTTTAACAAGCAGACTCAGGTGTGCCTCTGCTTGTTTGGACTGAAAACCACACTGGCCCTTTGCGGATAAGATTGGACACCCCTGATTTAAGGTAAAAAAATTAGGAAGGAAGAGTAAAGTATGGAGGAAAATCTAAAGCAGGGTAAGCAGGATGAAACCTGTTAAGGGAGATGGACTGTGAGTAGCCATAGTCTCAGTACCAGATGCTTTGGGTTTCTCAAGGAAGTCTGGAGACATAAAACTTTAGATAAATATCTGATTGTCACTGATGTCTTCCATTGCTTCCAGTCAGATACTGCTTGGAAGATATCACTCCTACCACTTGCATCCAGAGAGTCCATCCCTCAAATAACCCTGTGTAGTGAACGGCATTACCTTTAACAAGGCATATACTTTGCTTGCTTCAGACAGAGCTAATTTGAAGTTGTCTGTTTCTTCCATGATTCGCTTAACTTGATGAAACAGATTCTTTACTAATGGTTACTAATTAATAAACTGGGTATATTTGTGCTTCCTTGAGTTTTGAACACACCCTTTATGGATGTGATTTGCTGGTAACCCAAACATGAAATCTGAACCCAGTCTAAACCCAACAAATATTTGAGAAAGTCCCACCTCACAAAGCAGAGGGAATTCTGTACCTTATTTTTTTCTAGAGAGGGAGTTGACAGCAAGTGTAGTACCATGTCTCTCCAACAGGTGTCCTCATAACCCAACTCTAGACTTTCACTCTTAAGAGGCCTTCACAGTTCTCTAAATTTCCTGCTGTATTGTTCTGCTTACATTGCATTTATCTTGCTTCCTCCCTACAGAAGTATTTAGCCTCATAAGGGTGATTACACTGTTAAGAGTTTATTTATTCAGAGGCAGCTGAGATTTTGTTGGTTTCTTAGAAAGGGAGAGGTAGTAGTAAAAGAAATACAGTATAGTAATGCTAGTCCATTGGCTGAATCATCCAACTGAACATTATTCGATTACTTGGTTTTGTCTACTGTCTAGCTTTAAAGAAGAGCCCTCAGGGTTCTGGTAAGTCCTGAGCTGTTATATATCCATCCTCTCTGTGTCTTTCTCCTTCCTTTCATCTTTCTTCCTAGCGTCTTGGAATCAACAAATCTGACCCCAGTGCCCTCACGCCAGAGGAGGTCAGCTCCTTCGTCCGTCTTGACCTTGACCCGGCGAAGGTCACTTGGCAGAGGGGTAGGAGCAAGCTTGTTTGTTTCTTCAAAAGCAGTTTGTTTTGAGGTAGCTTTCCTCTTTGTTAGTAGGGAAGAAGGAAGTTGGTTTTCAGAAAGTTGGAGCCGGATGCAGTATTTCTGACACAGAATTGATTCTACCATATCACTGTTTTGAATGTTATATTACATACATACATAACTAAATGAGTAATGGTTCACCCCTTTCATGGTTCATTTCATGGTTCAGCCTCAGTTTCTGGACCGTTTTGTTCATATCAAGTTTCCGCGTGGAGGAATGTAACCGACTTTGAGCCCCATATTTAATACAAGGTGTGCAAATACAAACCAGAAGAATAAATGTTTAAAGTATCTCTATTACAAAATTGCAAAATGTCAAAACCAAGTAAAATAAAAGTAAACATCAGCCAGTAGAACAAAACATCAGCAGGTGTAATAAATGCAAACATCAAGAGGAAGAGCAACTGTACAAATCAGTGAGTTTACAAATATAAACAGAAAGCAAATTAAATGTAACAAACAAACTGATGTCTGTCATAATTGCAGTGAATTGTGCGCCAGCATACAGGACTATTACAGTTCAGTACATTGAACTGGATTAGAATACAGAGACAATATTTGTCAAGAAAATGCACTTTACTGCAGTTGGAGTGAATTTTGAATGTACATTAATAGAAAGGTAAGTGATGCTGTCATGCGGTTTAGTCACTAACTGAGTAAGGACATGGAATTTCCTCTAGCTTAGAAGCTTCAGCTGGGGAAAGTGATTTGTGAATGAGTAAGTGGAATGTACACAAATAAGGTACGTTTCACATCCAGTGAAGTGCAAAATACAATTACAAAAGGCGATTACTGTCAGGAACAAAGGCTCAATTAAAACACTGACGGTATGCCTACTTTCCCGATGACGGTGGTGATGAGTGCATCTCGTACATTGTTGACTGTTTTAGAATGGCTCATGTAGGTATACATTCTGTGAAAGATCAGAATAAGCTTTTATTGGCCAAGTACATTAGCAATTTGTTTTTGCTTACACAGTATCTCACACAAGACATTTTGTGTGAGTGCACCAAGAAATTTACAGTTGTGGAGTTGATATGGGCCAGTGGCCTAGCCAGGATTTTATTTTGGGGGGATACTGGTTACAGGTTAAAGGGCAGGTGGAAAGGATCAAGGCCCAAAAATATTTGTGAATATTAAACATGATTACTTATCTCACCTTACTTACTGGCTAATGTTAGTTACAGTAACAGCTGACAGTAAACCATGGCACGTAAACGCTAGTCCTACCTAGGGGTAAATGTCTAGGGTGAATGGAAGACTGCTACTTCCCAGTAACTTGCTAAGCAGCCAGTAGGAACTAGCACAGCTCAGCTGTGTTCTTAGGAGAAGCAATGAAGTGTATTCACATGTTGGCATTGGAAGAAAGCGTCTTTCGGTGCCATTTGCATGACCAGCAGCGAGGCAGCCATGTAAATGTTCACATGGTAAAAGCGTCTGCTGAAATTCGTACTGATCAAAAGAGAGCTTTGCATGTCTTTTAATTATTTAGTTCATGAGAATACAAGGTGACAGCACTTTTGCACATTTTGTAATGTTTTCATTGCTATTGAGAACTTTTTTTTTTTAAATGATTTAAATCTGCAGAGGCTTGACTTTCAAAGTGGCAGCCTAGGCCCACCCTGGGCCCTGCAATAGCTACACCTCAGACATGGATATCCACACCTGAATTCTGTTTTTTGGAAACAAGTGCTGTGGACTGAGCTCTTTAACAATCACCAGAGGTATTTTTTGAGAAAAAAGGTGCAGCATTTGATGAAGAAAACACCTTATCAGTTGTTAAGAATAGAGGCGGGTCTGTTACGCTATGTGCTTGTTTGGCAGCCAGTGGCATGGGAAACATTGCACATTTAGATGGAAAGACGGATTCCACAGAATATCAGCAAATTCTGGCAAATGTGACCGTCGAAAACTGAAGCTGAGAAGAAAATATACCTCAAATTCCACCCTGAACTACTTGAAGCTCTAATGTGCATTTAATGTACATTAATTTTTCATGAGCGCAATGCCATAAGGAAAAAAAAACTCTTCCAAGATGGTGCAACGGATGGAGGCTTTAGTTTAGTGCTGTCTAGAGATTTGTTTGTTTTTGTCTGTCTGTGTGGTCATCAAAGAGCCTGCTAAGATAATATACACCACAAAACACTTAGTGGATGTTAGGCTGTTTATACCAGCAGGCGTTTCTTTTGATTTTACATACTCTGTGAAGTTGTTGGGTATTTTTATTGGGCAGAGGGGCCACGCTCATCAGTATGCGCAGATGTAGATGTGTACTGTAGGTCATAACTCTGGACCTTAGCTCCACTTGAAGTCTGAATAGCGGGCAAGTCTAAGCCTGTTGGTCCTGTGTGTGTATGTGGACGCTGGAATGCTCTTGCCTCATTCGCTCATGCTTTGTGTCATTGTGCCTCAGTTGAGTTGCCTGCTGTCCCACAGCAATCACCAGGGCCTTCCTCTCCCCTCTTAGGCCCCCAAAATGCATTGTAAAAAACTAAATACTTCCAAGAAACAAAGCTTGAAGTGGTTTAAAACTCAGCAGCAATCCTGAAGAGAGCGTGGAGTGCTGTAGGTATTGTGTGATTCTTTCCATCCCCAGGTTCTAAGAGAATGGATTAGCCTGGGAACTAAGCAGGACCTGTTCTAATGATTCATGGTTATTCAGGAACAGTAAGATTGTTGATTTGTGCAATGTGTGACACACAGACTTCCCAAAAGTCTGATTGTGTCCAGGTTTTCACAAAATGAGCAAGTGTGATTCAGGCAAACAAAAGTGGTTGGAGAGCCTCTAAGGATCATTATCAGTTTGTTTTATTTGGTAATGGTTAACACATGTAGAATCAAAAGGAAAGTAGAATTAAAGGAATACTCCAGCAGTTTTCAACCTAGTCTTTATCTGGCTTATTTGTAGCATGCAGACAATTACCACAGGCAATAATTTTGTTGCAGAATTATGCATTGATTTAAAACACGCTTATAATGGAAGCCAATGGGCAGATGCTGAAGCAGCTTCCTGTTGGCTTCTGTTGGAAGTTTTAAAGTTAGCATTTTTTTCTGTTCTTTCTTAAGTTTCTTTTAGCTACAGTGCACCAGGCAGTTGGAATTCAATACAGGATACTCTAAAGCTCCGCTTGCTGGTGTCACTTGGCCCTTTTAATGCTTTAATCTTTAACCATGTCCACTCAGCCTGCAACAACAATTTGATATTGCTTTTCTTAGATAATTTTCTGTTGTCAAGCCAACTTACTGATCTTCACTGATCTTCAAGCTTGAACCATGAAAACTTTGATTGTAGAGCTGATAAGGGAAAAGTAGAACTGGGAGCTTCCGAGACTGATTAGATGTAGTTTTTGTCCAGTATTCTTTCAGTTCTGCACTGTTTGTAGGTCACTATTCAAATTGAGGCCAATTTTGTAAAACTGACCATGTTAAGGCCTTTGTACAAATGGGTCAGATTTTTTTTTTTAATCTTTTTCCTTTCATTGAAACACACTTGGATTTGATAAACTGATCAGAGGCTTTTGCACAAACTTGGGAAGTCCATGCTAGCTTGAGCGCACACTGTCATTAAAGCAAAAGGAGTACATACCAAAAACTAAGAAATTATGAAAAACATATATATATATATATATATATATATATATATATATAGAATATGTGTGTGTGTGTGTGTGTGTGTGGTAAGGACCCTCATAGGGCCACTACAGAGCAGGTATTATTTGGGTGGCGGATAGATCTTAGCACAGCAGTGACACTGATGTGGTGATGGTATGTTAATGTGTGTTGTGCTGTGGATCAGTCACAGCAGGGCTGCTGGAGTTTTGCTGCACATACAGGAGGTTGGACTTAAGTTGAAAAATACTTACACCTTACATTCATCACCACATCTGCTGGTGACTAAGCCGTTAGGGGACACTTTCCACCCACTGCGTCCAGTTTACCGCTCGCTCTGCACTCTGGGAGTTGCAGTCCAGCAGGTTTGAGGTTTAGGGGTCGAGATGCAGCTGGACTGGGGGAGACTTCTATCTCGCAAGCACCCGCCTGGGAACAGCTGTTGTTCTAGCCCACCACAGGCCCTCAGGGAGCGAATGTTTCAGTGACTGATGGGATATTTATTCTGTAGGTTCAAGAGTGCGCACTCGGATGAGGATCTTAGAAGATTAAGACCAGCTTTTTCTGTCCCATTACTGCAATTATAATGTTTAACCCCATCTTGCCTAACATCTTGTCAGCGATCCGTCCAGTGACTTCAGCTTTGGCCTCTTTAAGTTATTAAGATATGCCCCCCAGAGCAGTTGGGACATGGTGGTCATAGTAAAATGAATCAGCATGAGAAATTGGAGCTTTCTGTGTGCTGTGTTTTTGTATCACTGTGCTGCTTAAGGCATGCTGCGTTTATTGTTTGATACACTGCGAGAATTGGCTTTTTTGTAGCCTTGGCATTTAAGGGTTAAATCAGGAGGACTTCTCATGGCTGCTGCTATGAATTGCTTACTTTGTTTTGTTTGCCCAGTTTCTTCCATACAAACATTTCGATATGTTACTGTAGTTTATTGTCTTAGAGTTTATTATATACACACATGCAGTGAGAGAGATAAGGGTGGAACCAGATGAAAATCTAGACTGTTTTAGTTCCTCCTGCCAACGACATCTTTATGATGAGGCCTATAACTGCTTTGAGCATGTAGCTTCGCCTGCGTTTTTCTTTTTCTTTCAGCTCCCTAGTCCATTTGGGAATTGCATGTTTGTCAGAGGAGGGAAAAACTAGTTCCAATGAAAATAAGAACTTTGAGTGTTCAAGGAATTCTTGTTTTCTGCTAGTTTGTGGTTTCTTTTGGCTCTCTTTGTTTTGTTGGCTAGCTTTAGATAGTAGATCTGTTCCATTATGTTGCCCCATATGTCCACTGAGCATTGGCCATAAACTGTTCTGCATCTTCCCAGCCTGTATTACACCACTCCATCTGATTGATCTGCAGAGGGCAGCTTGTTTCTCTTCCAACTCACTACCACCAGCCTATGTCTTTGTTTACTCTGCAACTCTGTCAGTCAATGATTGGAGTTCTCGGGGGATGTCCTGCTGTTAGGGCAGTCCTAGCCCACCGTCTTAATTCTTAATTGTGATTACTTAAAAACTTTAGAACATTCTGTTGTTTTTCTGTTTGTACATAATAATTGACATGACAAACCATTTTTACAGTGTACCTGTCTGGAACCTCCAGTTTATGTCAGTGTTGTTATGCACCATTGTCCATTTGAGTTGAAAAGAATGTAATTGCCCAGCACAGATGACTATACATAAGTCAGTGCATGCACAAACTAAATAACTAAAAGTTATTGGTTGTCATTATTGGTGGTAAATGCAATTTTGGACTAATAATTACATTTTTCCATTTGTCTGTAAATAACACCAATAACATGTTGTGCACCCCTAGCAATAACAGTCCATACTTGCATTTTTCTTTCATTTCAACAGTGGTGGACACCAACGACCGTTTTCTGCGGAAAATTACAGTTGGGCAAGCGAACACTGAAAAAGGCCACAGCCGACAGGTTTGCACTCACTCTACTCTTACCCTGTGAAACGTTTAATGATATGTAGTGATTAGTAGTAAGCAGACGTTATGGTCACTCTCTCAGCCTCTCTGCACATTTGCTGGAATCTGAGAAGTCTAGCGGTTTGTGAGCGTCTGTCAGAAAAAACAGCTACTAAAGCAAATCCTGCAAATAAACAGCATGCACCTTGGTGTGAACCAGCCTCAGTGAAAGCAAATGTTTAAAGTGGAGTGAAAAAATGGGCTGCGGTTTGCTTGCAAACACTCATAGCCATGCACATGCTTACATTTATCCTTTCTCCCACTGATCCCTGCAGAAACACACCCCACAGCCTGGAGGGGTTTTGTTATGGTGTTGCATTAGAGTTAGAGTGATTGTAGCAAATCTCTATTTTGAAAGAATCACATGACCTCAGCAATTACATACTTAAATCTAAACTTGTAATTTGGAAAGCTGAAGGTGGGCTTTATCTTTTGCCTCATTAAGTGTGAGTGGGCTATCTTAAAAGAAAATAAGAAAGAATGATATATATACCCTTTTGGGACATGAACTGATCACTAGGCGATGATGGCTATAGCGTTCCCACCCCTTAGGCCACAACGCGTTCATCAGTGTGACGCAGAAGCCTTCAGGGTTCAGTGTTCTATCTCTGAGTAAGAGCTGTCTGGCCGCCGCCTGTCTCCTCCAGCTGCTTTAAGAGGCTGATGTTTATTAGAGGCGAGCAGCACCAGGACAGCTTGGACTGGCTCCAGCCTGCCTTGTCTTTAACACGTGAGCTATTTACTGTATACGATGAAGAGGTCTAGGCCTAGCAACCAGCCTGAGACAGTGTTTGTGTTGTGTATATGCATTGGTGTGTGGTTTGCGTACATTCTGCATCTTCTGTATCAACTAACTGTCAAGCAAAGGTGATACAGGAAATAATACTCAAACAGTGTTTGTATATTTTGTTGAACAGGCCAAAACCACAAGAATTTTAGGCAGCTCCACCCTCAGAGCTACAAATAACAATTTATATGAGTTTAGTGTGACCTTTGACAATCGTGTCAATCAGTGAAGCATTAAAATCTAAAATATAAATATTAAATTATATTGGCCAATGTCATTGTTTATCAGAATTTGAAGCCCCTAAAAATTAGTTTCTCTATTGACCACAAAACTTTCATATTGCTCAGGCCCTAATCGTGATGCATCATGAACTCAAAGTGGCAATTTGACTGCATCGATTTTAGAAGTGTTAGAATTGATTACTAAATATTTTTATACTCAATTGTCACATATTTGTTCATTATTTATTCAAAATAAAATGATCTGTTTTCTATTTTTTAAATGTAAAAGACCAAGAAGAAAGTGTGGTATATTTCGTTTATTCCACTAATGTGTAAATAGCTCCTCTAGTTGTATTTATGCTTTCAGCCTTTTTTAATCATGCTGAATCACACCAAAATAATCAACCCAAACTGTGGCGTGTAGAATCATTCCACAAATAACTGCCAAACTGAAGATTTACATCTGTTTTATTGAATAACACTGAATACTGTGTCTGTGAATGTGACATTTTCTCTCTTTTCTGCAGACGCAGTTCGATATTGCTGTGGCCAGTGAGATCATGGCTATTCTGGCCCTGACTGATGGGCTGGCTGACATGAAGTCCAGGCTGGGCCGCATGGTAGTGGGCAGCAGCCGGAGTGGGCAGCCAGTAACTGCAGATGACCTTGTATGTTTGTAGGAGGGCTGCAATCTTTACTGCACCAGTAAACCTGTCTGTAGAATGCCAAATTTCTGTCCCTTCCTGATTTTAGCCTGACAGAATTCTGTCCAATCCTGACCTTAGCCTGACAGAATTGTGTCCAGACCTGTCTTTAGCCTGACAGAATTGTGTCCAGACCTGTCTTTAGCCCGACAGAATTCACTCCAGTCCTGACTGTGGCCCGACAGAATTCACTCCAGTCCTGACTGTGGCCCGACAGAATTCACTCCAGTCCTGACTGTGGCCCGACAGAATTCACTCCAGTCCTGACTGTGGCCCGACAGAGTTCACTCCAGTCCTGACTGTGGCCCGACAGAATTCAATGCGAACTTGGCCGGAACACCTCATTTTACTTGCATTCTGTGCTGTTCAAGCACATGCAAAATTGTTTAAAAAGTTAATAATAAAGTTAATTAAAGTAGGGATAAAAATTGAAATTGGGTGAATACAGGCAGAAATCCTTTAAATCTATGAATTAACTATGAAAACCTGAACATAAAATTTCAACCCAGGCTGTGCCTGACAAATATTTGAGAAGTGATATCCGAACCCGGACACGAATAGTCAGGTCTAGTCGGGTTTGGACAAAAAGTTCAAGCTCCGATTCACACTAGGCTCACTGCCTCTCTGTACTTGTTCATATACATTGAACCTTTTTGGTTGCCTCCTTTAGGGTGTAACTGGAGCGCTCGCTGTGCTGATGAAAGATGCCATCAAACCCACCCTGATGCAAACACTAGAGGTTAGACTTTCCTTTTCCTTTTCTCCTCACACACATAACAGTGAACCTTAACAGTGCCGTTATGATAGAGATGCCCAAACCTGATACTCTCAACGGTACTGAACTTGTACGAGAGATGTGAATTACAGAACTACACTCACTCAGACACACATCTGGCTTTTGTCTGGCTGCAGTGGGAGTGTTCCTCACTGTCCATATTGGAGAGAAAAACTGGAAATGATGTATAGAAAGTGATGAAAATAATTATTTGTAGGAATGCCTTTCATCTGTAATGACCATCATGCTAATCACTTTATGATTAATGTTTAGAATGTGTGTGTGTGTGTATGATTGTGTATGACTGTATGTGTGTGTGTCGTGTATGGGAGTTCTTGTTTTGTGGGATTTTTCCTGTGTGGAATCATGTCAGGATGGAGCAGGCAGTGGAGGGTGATGGGGACACTGCTGAGTGTGTGTGGAGGCGGGTATGATGGCATCCATGTTTTCACAGATGGACTCAAGTGTGTTCAAAAAGGAAGAGACGTGTCAGCTTTGAGTGAGAGTGAGAGAGAGAGAGAGAGAGATGAAAGTTTGAGAGTTTGAGTATGTGAGTACTGGGTGCTCACTGCATTTGTACCACTGAACAGAGATATCTGTTAATTTTTTTGTTTTTAAATCTGGTTTCTCTTTTTTTCCTTTTCTGTCTCTTTCTCTTTCTTTTTCTCTCAGTTGCTCTCAATTTCTGTTTCTTTTCTTTCTCATCTTATTTCATTTTGTGTGTTTTGCTCTTTAGCTCTCTTTCTCTCCTTTCTTTTTCTTTCTTGCCACCAATATTTCCTCTTTTCTTCTCTTTCTTTCTTCCTTTTTCTTTTGCTCTCAGTTTTTCTTTCTCATCTGTTTGTTTCTCAGTCTCACTTTCTGCCGCTTTTGAATTTCTCTTCTCTTTTGTCCTATTCTCTCATTTTTTTCATTTTTCTCTCTTTCTGTTGCTCTCAATTTCTCTTTTCTCATCTATTTTCTTTATTTATCTTTCCCTTCTCTCTCTCCTCTCTCTCTCTCTCTTGCTATCTCTCTCTCTCTCTCTCTCTCTCTCTCTATCTCTCTCTCTCTCTCTCTCTCTCTCTCTCTCTCTCTCTCTCTCATTTCTCGTTTTCTTTCTCTCTCTCTTTCTCTGTGGTCTCTTCATGTTCTCAGAGCAGAGGTAGCCTGACTTTATTTCCTGTGTGATATGATGCTCTGCATGTGCTGTGTACTTCCTGTATCATTTTTCCAGAAGGTTATTTTAATGGAAATTACATTTTTGCCACACACATGCACACACAAAAAACAGGCTCTTGTTTTTGTACAATGTATGACATGGAGTATAAAAAAACCTCGTGTTTTTCGTGTGTGTGTGTGTGTGTGTGTGTGTGTGTGTGTGTGTGTGTGTGTGTACTATTATACTTTGCAATATTTCTTGACATCCAAAATTGTTACAAATGGATTTAGAACATTTTGGAACTAAACTCTTGATTCTTAGACAATAGCTTAACCCTCTCTGGTTGGCAATGTCATATGCGACATCAAAGGACATCGTATATAAAAAATGAGCATCTTGGGAATGTTGGATGCTACAGACTTAACTTTCATTTTTCCCAGAAGGCTGGCGTTTTTCCATTTCAGTGAGGATTCTGTTGCAATCGTATCTCTTTCAGAAGCTTTGTAATCCATCCTTGAACTGCACTGCCTTTTTGGAGACTTTGTAAAAGAAGTCCATAATGACAAATCCAACACTGAATGTCTTCTGTTATTATTTGTCTGTTTCTCCGTTGTTGTTGTTAGCAGGGCTGTTAGCCGTCCACCGACGCCTTGGGTTGAGTCCGTTGACCAATCAGAGCCTGCGTTCTTGACTTGTCGGCGAAACAATACTAGGCTTCTGGGCAAAATGAAAGTACATTCCTAGTGCAGCGCTCATGAAATATTTTTTTTTCTTTTATCTTCGATGTCCTTTAATGCCGCATACAGCATTGCCGACCTGAGTGGGTTAAAGAAAAATCAGACATTTTACTGACATTTTAAACAGATATTTGATTATGTATTTATTGTATTTATCTCAAAGAGCAGAACATTTAAGCGATGCTGCTCTACTGATCTAAAAAAATCTGCATTTTATTTTTTTTTCTCATTTGTAACTGTAGAATAAATGTTCTATTTCTGTGTAATGCTAAAGCATTTTCTACCTTTCAAACATGTTTATGCATGGAAAAATGTATGAAAACAAGTGCACACACATGTAGTCCTTTCTCACTTGTCTTTCACAAGCAGCCTTGAACTTTTTACCCAGCATTCCACACTCCCTCCTTCTGTGTTCCTCCACAGGCGGGGAACGGTACTTTTCAAGCTAAAAAAAATGACAAAAGCACAGCACGACAGGCAGAATGCCCACGGTTTTGTGGAAGGAATGATTTGGTGATAGAGGAACAGTGGAATGCTGTTGTAGGACAGCTTGTTAAGGAAGCGCAAGAGAGACATCTTCTCTTTCTGTCTTCCTTCTGGAACGAAGAGACCTCGTCACCCCAGATTTTTCCCCCAACTGTGCTTCAGTCCTCTTCCTAAATTCAAGTGACTTCACCACTTGCCTGCTTTCTTTTCCATCGTCCTGCCCCCTCTTTGTCCTTCCTATCCTCTTTTCCTATGCTGTAATCTAGGTGGCCTGCTGGTTTGGGGAAATGAACTCTGAACCAAAGGGCTGTTGGTTCAAATCCCAGCTGTTCACAGCTTTAAGTGGGATTGGCTCATGCAATGAAGGCTGTTTTGAGACTTTGTAGCTAGATGATTGAGCAACAATTGAGGCCCACATGTTTATTCCACACATCTAAGTGTTTGAATTATTATCAAATAAGTTTTAAATTATTTAAAGTTACCCTTTTTAGTTCTGATGTACAGCACTGAAACAGGTCACAGTGGGGCAGAGTTGTGGCCAGTTGAATGTGATTCATGTTGGTGGTTTTGCTGTTTTTGTTTTATTCACCCGTGTCTTTTGTGTTGTGACAGGGCACGCCAGTGTTTGTGCATGCTGGACCATTTGCTAACATCGCCCATGGCAACTCGTCTGTGCTGGCAGACCAACTGGCTCTCAAGCTGGTCGGAAAGGAAGGCTATGTGGGTGAGTGTGAATGCAGGTGAAGTACACATACATATGCAGATACATGTGCATATATCACATATACAGTTAATCGTTCTAACTACTCCATAATTGTAGCCTCCCGTTCTTGCTCTCAGTCGTACAGCTCATCATTTCTTTTCGGTAATTTCTGTGGTCTGTTGTAATGCTACGAGAGCTAAACAACGATCTACAAATTACATCACAAGTGGCAACCATCGGGGGTCAAGCACTAGGCACCTTATGTAGAACACAAATGATGGTCAAATGTTTTAGAATGGTTTCAGTTTCTAATAGATGAGGGGTCTCGAAAGATGTCTGCCAATTTTCATGCACACTGACCTTTTGACCTTAGTATGGCATGCAACAAATTTTTGACATGTAAATCAAAATACCTAGTAAACAGTACAATATTTGGACGTGATTTGTAGGACTTATAGTTGTTTAGTTGTTGAACTCAATGAAATCTGAGATTCTGTAGCAATTACTCATTTATTTTAGTCTAGTACATATTCTGATCTGATTTTCTAAGTGAAAATAAGTACTAGATCATACTAATAGTATGATCTAATAGTATGTTAACTTATTTTCACTTAGAAAATCAACAAAACGTGATTTGACTATTCAAACTTTTGTATATGAACTTAATGAAATGAGTTGAATGAGTTCCTACACTTTGCCTGGGAAGCAGGGCCAGAGGGTTTTAGGAAAGCCTTAAACCAGAATGAATCCTTCTAACTTAAAACCCAGTGGAATTTTTTTTAAAGGCTGAACTCGTCTAATCCTCTTGGTGGCACACCTGAGAATCTACACAGTCTCTTTCTCTCTTTCCCTAACTAAAACAATGCTAACTGTGGAGAGCCTCCTTTAAGGCTGTGCGGAAGTATGCGTGGAGAGGTGAAATGGTGCCAGGGAGCCGAGCCAAGACACTAGTTGAGTTATGACCTCTTTGCGTGATGCTCCTAGAAAATGTCTGAGACTTGTCCAACATGTAAACAGTGAAGAGACAAGCGTAGCATCTGCTAAGCTGAGGAAGCACAACTCTGAGCTCAAGCTTAAGTCTGTACAGGAGTGGGTCAGATAGTTAGATTACATCATTAGATTACTCTGTAGGTAGCGAGCTGACTCTCAGAGTTAAACGCTGTGGTTGCTTGTTAGCTGCTAATGAGCTTTAAGCTGGGTCTTTAATGAGCCCTGCTCGCCTTTAGAGTGTGGGGCTGAGGCTTTGTGGTCTTCAACAGACAGCAGGAATGTGGAGGCTTGTGTTAAGTTTCGCAGAATAACAATGAAGAAGGAAAGTGTGTGTATGTGTATGTGCGTGTGTCATCCGATGCTCAGGTATGTTGTTTTTGAAGCTGGTTTAGGTGGAGTCAGCTGATTTTACACAGCAGCCTTACTACAGGCCGGTTATTCAGTTATTAATCTTAAAGGAATACTCCAGAATTCTTCAACCTAATCTTCATCTTCCACATCTGTGGCGTGCAGTCAGTGACCATAAACAGTCATCTGTAGACTAAGGCTGTACAAAATGAACATAAAATGTGATGTTCAGCAAAGCTGTTGGATGTGACGATGATGATCTGAAAGCAATAAATTATGATTAAAATAGTGTGCCTCTGACTGGATGTGACGCATGTACAGACTTTTTTTTAATGTGTAAACAGAAATCTAACTAACCACTCCTTTAAGCAAATAGCAAAATGCAAAATTATAAAACATTTACTCTTGGGCAAAATAGGAAATGAAACAGCTATGTATATCAGAACTGTAATTTTTTGTTCTCTGAAAAGCTTTTTGTATAAAGACAGCAAAAAGAAAGAAATGTGTATTTATAGAACACAAGAACAAATACATATTTTGTTTGTTTGTTTGTTTCTGAATTTATTTATGCTTAGTTCATATTTGAGAACTAAGCCATTACTGCCTCGCACACTTAAAAAAACAATACTGCTTGTGAGAACAATCCAAATGTTTGTTGTGTGTTTACAGGCTTGTACTTCAGGATGGAGAAGGTTTTGAGCCGTGCGCGTGTGTATTTTGTGCTTAGTCGTGCAGCTGAATAGTTAAGTTACTCGTCTCCTACGTGGGAGGGCAGAGTTCAAGAGAAACACTCATTAGGCGCTGCATGTATGAAGTAATTTGATATGTTCTGTCATTGCCACTCTTACCGCGTGTTTATCGTGGAAACCCGTATGATGATAACAATAAAAATGCAATTTGTATCATACATAATCGCTTCAGCATGTGCCCATTGGCTTCTATTATGCATGTGTTTTGAGTTAATGAGTTTTCTGCTCAGGGAAACATGTTTAAATTGTCTGCAGTAATCAACCCTGTGCTATAGAGGCAGCAGATAGAGATTAAAAAAACAGAAAACTGAGGGTTTTTTCCTCAGCAATTCTTTTTCGATTTAATTAGTTCACAGTTGACATTATTGCTCTGTACTTTTGAAAACGGTCATTTTAAAATTTAATTAACGCTTTTGAGCACATTTCTTTACTGCTACTTTTCATTTTAGTAATAGTTTTAATGGACTTAATAGAACCCGATTCAGATTTATTGGCCAAGTATCTTGAGACACACAAGACACGCTCAAGACACACTCTCTAGTATTATATTCAATATATAAACAATGTACAAATAATTTACAGACAATACACAGTGTACAGTATACACAGTATAGAAGCAGTATGCAGGTTATATATGAACAAGTAATATACAGACAATATACATATTATTTACAGACAATACACAATATGCAAGCAACATATAGATTACAGGGGCAAGCAATATACATAAGTGTGTGTGTGTGGTAGTGCAAACAACCGTAGTCTACATCATGTATATGAATGAAATTGTGGTGCACAATGGTATGTGTCTGAAGCAGGGTGTAAGAACTATCTGGAGGGAAAAAATATACATTTATAAAGTATATACCTTTATAAAACAACAGGAGTAGCTATGGCCCAGTAGATGACATAATAATAACCTTGGATATTAATAATAACAATGAATTATATAGTAACTATTATTATTTGTTTAGTAACTACATTTAATATTCACTAACTACTGTTAATATTTAGTAACTGCTCTAAAGTGTTGTACCTACTACGATTCAGCAGCTGCTATAAATTGTTCAGTAACTACTATGGATTACTCAGTACCTACTATGAATGATTCAACAGCTGCTATGAATTATTTATTACCTACTATGAAATAATCACTTACTACTTTGAATTATTTAGCAACTAGGAATGATTCAGCAGCTGTTATGAAATATTCAGTAAGTACTGTTAAATATTCAGAAACTAATATTATTCAACAGCTACTATAAAGTCTTTAGTGGCTACTATGAGTTATTCAGTAACTACTTCAGATTATTTAATAAAACTATGAATGAATCAGTAGCTGCAATGATTCAGTAACTGCTTTTGTTCAACATATACTATGAATTATTCAGTGACTATTTTGAATTATTTGGTAACTACTTTCAATTATTCAGTAGGTACTGTGAAGTATTTAGTAACTACTAAAACCTATTCAACAGGTACTGTGAAGTATTTAGTAACTAGTCATATATGGGTCTTTTAGAGTTTGATGAACAAAACGTTTAACTGCTCTGTTTTAATGTAGCTTATAGTCACACTGCAGTGGTCTGTGCAGCACATTAGAGTTACACTAGCAGCATGAAAACATGAGACATGAAAAAATAAGGACGAAATTTCTCTGAAACCTCAATAGTTTTCTGCTGTATTACTCAGCTATGAGCTTATCTGTGGATGCTTGGATATGGATGACATAAATCTGAACTGATACAGAAGTGTCCCATGACTTGCACCCTAAAAAAAAAAAATCTTACCTCTGTCACTCTGTAACATGTGCTCACATACACAAGCGCACACATTCGCATGTAGCCAATTAATCCCCTCTAATAACTCAATTAATCGCCTTAATTAGAATCATTTAGCTCATTTCTCATCTCCATTTTGAGGTTACAGTAAGTAGTTCAGACTCAGGTATGTAGGACAGAGTGCGTAGGCTTAATCTGAAAGGTTACTTTAGTTCAGAATATGATGCCAGACCCTGATTGCCATGTACACACACACACACAAGATCTCACAAGACCAGAAAGTATGCCAAACCTCTTCAGTGGAAATAAAAACATTAGTCCCCCCGCCCCTCTACCCATTTCCCACCCTGATCCAGAGCCTGGGAAATAGTGCAGGAAACTCAAAGGGCACAGAAAGAAGTTGAAATGTGGAAATACCACACTCACATACACACACGCTTGTTATTGTACCATGTCAGGATGTGGGATTATATATTTTGTATTATGTATGTAAGTATCGATATGTAGAAATAAAATGTCTGTGTAATTTGTACTACACACATGTAAGTGTCTATATGTATGACGTGTCCCAAATCTGTTGTATTTATATTTAAGTACATATGTGTAATAATAGTACATCTTGGTGTTCTATCAATATTGTGTCACTATCATCCCTGAAACTGGCCCCTAAATACAGTATCAGCGGTAGAGAATACTGACAACATGAAGCTGTTTCTGACATACACACACTACTGAGTGATGCTTGCATGCATGCTAGTAAGTGAAGCTTAACTGAAGCAAGCAACATGGCTGCAGTAGGGATGAGTCAGAATTTTTGAATATTCAAAGTCATGAAAAAATTCATACATAGCTTGTTGCTAATGTTGCACATTCTCATAAGAACCATAAAATGTCTGAACTCTGTCCTCCACCTGAGGGGAGTGAAGAGCCTGGTCAGAGTTTCTTATCTATTTAGTTGCAAAGAAGAAAGCTTAGCAGCTGGACTGCAGAAGCTGACTAAAGGCTACTGCGCACTGGATGAGAAGCTCCGCCAGGTCTCTAGTGCTGGGTAGCAGATAGTACAGAGCGCAGCTAAAGCATGTTGGAAGCATCGTAAAGGACAGATCTCAAACTGATTTTATGCTCTACTCATATAGATTTAATGGAAGTAAACTTTAAACGTTTGTAAATTTATCAGGTTCAGCTAACTAACTCTTCATAGACTTGCTGTCAAGCTAGAAGGTATGAGATGTAATATGTGATGTGGCCACACTAGTGACATTAGCTGTGCTGAAAACAGATGGTTTTATTTTGTTTGTGTCTTAAAGACTGTAGATTGGCTGCATTTGTTGTTGTATATGTTAAGCCACATGTCGCCTACTGTACAGTACCGGTAAGCTGCAGAGTAGCAGCTCTGTATCTGTTCACTGTCTCATGATATGTGTATATATATATGTGTGCGTGTGTGTGTGTGTGTGTGTGTTATGTGTGTGTGTGTGTGTGTGTGTGTATATATATATATATATATATATATATATATATATACACACACACACATTTTACAAGAAACTCTTCTAGTTTTGAGGAAAAGTTTTCTGGCGGAGATGGGAGGAAAGCGGCTGTAGCTAAAGCTTAAAGCAGAGCGAAGTAAGTCTGCGCTCTCGTTTATATTGTTTAGTCTATACTAGGACATTAATACATACTGAGACATACTGGACATTAAATGTTGTGGCTCCCAAGGTGGCTTGATTTCTGTTGAAAGGACAGAATGTTTTTTCTGATCATTTATGTTGTGACTCCTGATCTAACCTGGCTTTTAATGCAGAGGGAGCCGGTCGGATTTCTCAGTCATCCAGTTGTGTTTTTGTTATGTGCCCCCACAGACTGTCCGGGCACTGCACTTCCGCACTTCCGTCAACATTATGTTATAAATTAAATATTTAGAAAATCGATTTTTGACATTTATGAATCGATTCAGAATCGTTCACGTTCGCATCGCGATGCATCTAAGAATCAAGTTTTTCCCGCACCCCTAGTATATACATAAAACATATATTTCTTGCGTGTGTGTGTCTGTGTGTGTATATACATAAAACATAAAAAGCACATATCTGGACTATTTAGTTGTTTAGCTTTGTTTTAATCTGATTTTCCTGTTGAAGGAGGACATTGTTCTGTAAATGCGTGGAGAGAAGCACACATGCACACAAAACATTGAATGCAATTTGTAATGCATCTTATTTTGCATTCAGCTGGTGACTTGTAACTGTTATGATCGGATGATGACAGAGTAAACATTGTTGATGTTTATGTTAATAAGACTTGCGTAGCATGTACAATGCTCTGAAGGCAGTCACTGTAATAATGATACTATAGTGTACACATATGCTCACTCATGCTCGTGTATGTTTGCTTTTAGTCTTTAAGGGCAGCAATTACATCAGTACCTCACAGATTTCCCAAGAGTGCAAAGGAAATTCAATAATTAGTGCCATTTCCCACTGTGTGAGTGCGCATATGTGTGTAACCAGCAGTGCTTTTAAAGCTCATTACTGCCACTCATTATCAGTATGAGGAGTGTTTAGCACACTTCCTGTTGTAGTTTCAGGGCTCTGTGCATCATCATCATCATCATCATCAGCTGCTGAGTGGAATCACTGTGACTAACTGAGCTATGAATACTAAAAATATTTGAAGACAAAGCTTTTAAAGGCAGTTTTTTAGAATTGTAAAGTGCAATTTATTTTTTCTCTTTCTTTTTTCTCTCTCACATTCACACACTTTTTCTTTTGCCTCTCCTTATTTCTTTGTTTCTATCTCTTTCTCTCTTTCCATTCTTTGTGCTTTTTTTTCCTCTTTCTTTTTATTTCTCTCTCTCTCTCTCTCTCTCTCTCTCTCTCTCTCTCTCTCTCATTCACTTTATTACTTTCTCTCTCACTTTGTCTTTCTCTTTTTTCTGTCTTTCTTTTTTCTTTCTTTTTTCTTTCCTCATTCTCTCTCTTTCTTTCTCTCTCTCACATTCTCACACTTTCTCTATCGCCTCTCTTTATTTCTTTCTGTTTCTTTCTCTTTCTCTTCTCTCTGTCTGCCTTTCTGTATTTTTCTCTCTCTCTCTCTCTCTCTCTCTCTCTCTCTCTCTCTCTCAGTGACAGAGGCAGGGTTTGGAGCAGATATTGGTATGGAGAAGTTCTTTAATATTAAATGTCATGCCTCTGGACTGAAGCCTGATGTTGTGGTGTTGGTGGCCACCATCAGAGCACTGAAGATGCATGGAGGAGGTCCCAGTGTAAGACAGTGTTTGAGTTCCTGTATCTTTACTTTGTATTTAGAAGCTTAAGAAAAGACAGCTTAATTTTCAATATACCTGTGATGTCATAACGTTTCAATATTTCTCTCTGCTTTAATTCAATACGTCGTAGAAATGCACCATGTACTAAATATCTGTCCATTAATTGTCCTAAGTCTTAGAGAATTGTAGTCTTCTATTCAGTTGACATTATTGTATGTTTCCTCTCTCAGGTAACAGCAGGGGCACCACTTCCTAAGGAATACATTGATGAGGTAAAGACTTTGTACAGGTTGTACACATACAGTGTTCAATCTCTAACCATTTACATCAGTGTCCAATGAATTACTTAATCCTTTAAGAATCTGAGCATAGTTCTTATGATTTTATGCACAGACCTTCCAAAATCTGGGTGTTCAGCTCATTATTAAATCTGAACGTGAAATCAGAGTTGGCTTTTTTAGCTGGTTTGTCAATGTCCCGGGTCATAATAAGCGCAATTCATCATTTAAAAGACACTTTTATTTTTTATATTTTCCTTTTCCTTCAAATTGCAATGATTTTGGTTGTCTCTGAAATGAAAAAATGTATCTTCGTTCACACAGCAGCTTTGGTGAACTATTTTCTCTAATAAAGATCTCCCTTAAATTATTTTTAAGTTATCTCTTCTAAACTAAATCTTTTACACATTCAGGATCTTATACAGTGCATCCTATAAGGGTAGATGGATCAGGCTAGAGCAAAATCTGCTGTAGCAAGGCTAGTTTGGAAAGCCTGTTCAGTTGTGCAGAAGATCTTAGGTTGTATTGTCTTACTCAATCAATATGTGGCAGTATTGCACACTTAAAGGAGTAATCAGTGACTTTTTGCCTGTCAGTCACGTCATAAGCTGGCTGCTGATCACATGGGTGGCTACATGCTGCATCAGAAGGGTAGGGTGACCATTTTAAACGCTACTTCCCATAAGGATTCACTTCTTCTGCAACATATAGCACTTCGGTAACGTCTTATTAACATTATCTCCTTAGGGACTTCATAACCATGTATAAGCACTGAATAGTATTTATAAATATTTCTGTCAATAATATTGTCAGTTTAATGGTGGATTAGCTTTTCATTAAGATATGAATAAACAATGAATGAGTATCTGGGCCCTCCATGTGCCTGAAAACACCCAGACCTCTTCTCCAGGCCTCCCTTGCACTGCTTTATCCTCCCTAACGTGGTTTGGCGTGATTCGATTAACAGGGTAAATATAACCTGGCTTGCTGAAGGTACAGACGGCAGTCCAGAGGGAGCTGTAGTGGCGCAGAGATGCCGGGCCTGCTTTCTATCAGCCTCCCTAAAGCAGCCCCAGCTGAGAAAATAACTCAAGCGCTTAAGCTAATTGTGCGGTTGCTTAACGAGAAGCAGAAGGCACCAGGCCGGTCTCCTGGGCTCAGGATGCTGGCTTTGCTGGTGCAGTGCAGTGAGGGACGCTGCGGCTGTAAAGCAGAGCAGGAAGTGCCTTCCGGAGGGCGTCGTGGGAGGGGTGACCCTTTCAAAAGCCTGGTGGAGGACATCTGTCCCTAAATGGACTCATCCTTTGATGAAGGCACTTGGTTAAGTCTCGCAGCGGGAGGTGGGAGCCCAGTGGTCAGAGAACTTGGCTATGGCCCAAGGTTGTGGGTCATGTCATGGAGCTTTAACCTCTAGTTTCTCCAGGGAGGCTGTCCAGGGAGGCTCATGTATGTCGCTTTGAGCATAAGCATCAACCCCAGGATAAAATGAAAAAGCAATTGAAGCAGATTGTTGGATTTAATGGGGAATTCACTGATTATTTTTTTTTTTATTTTATTTATTTACTTTTTTTCCCCTCTGATATTATCACCTGTTGTTAAGCCGTGTGGTGGTATGATATTGTAGTATAGCATAGTTGATCTTTGTTTGAGTGATTTTAGTTTTCACAGACATTTTGTTCAGTCAGAAGTTACGTGAGCCTGGTTGTTTGTCAATGCTGTACTCAATAGAAGAATGCCTGGCTCTTGGCAGTCAGTCCTGTTTCTGTGGTTATTTACAGAACTCACATCGTGGTAAACAAAATTTCCCTCGCTTTTTTGAAATTAAGGAATTTCAAGTAATATGCTAACATTAACTGTTTGATATGTTTTGAAACTTTAATATTCATTACCATGTCCATACGGCCAATATAAGGAAACTAAACTGCAAAAATAGCCTGTTTGAAATTTATTGTTTCTGTGATAAGACCCATCTTATTGACATATCCACCTATTTGGCTTGTTGTAGATTAGCTTCACCCGTTTACCCTGAAGTTATGAGGAGTGTTTTAGCTCTCAGCTCTTTAGGAATGAGGCACAATGCAGGGCAGCTGATCAGAACAGAGCTCTTTTGCATCCTTATTAAAGTAAATTAATTCAGTATTGAGATTTTAGAAAAGCAAAAGAAAATTAATGGTCTTGACACTGAAAGCAGAGAGATGAAAAGTGTGTCATTTCCTTTTTTCTACCACCTTACATAAAACATTTTGAAAATCATTTACTACTGTGGTGGGAAAAGCACCAGCACTAATTTTTAAAAGGTCAAATTCCAGTGAAACAGATCCGTTTTTGTCCCTCATTACTGACTTTACCTAACAAGTTGCTGTAGGATGTCAAAGCTGAAGCTGTCATTATTTTTATTATTCCCTCTGTGTCATTTAAATCAGTGACACTTGTGAAAGTTGCTGTACTGAAAAAATATCTTTTTTCTATTTTACACCCTTTCTATATCAGAATCTGCAGCTGGTCTCAGAAGGCTGTAGTAATCTGAAGAAGCAGATTGAGATCGCTCGCCTGTTTGGAGTTCCAGTGGTGGTGGCTCTCAATATCTTTAAGTAAGGAAGGACAGTTTGTGTCTCAGAAAGCTAACCTTTGCCGTTGTGTTTTTGAAATGAACCTCTCTGCTGTTTCCGACTATGCTGTGTTTTGCTGTTCACCTCAATTAAAGACTGCCTCTCTCTCTCTCTCTCTCTCTCTCTCTCTCTCTCTCTCTCTCTCTGTCTGTCTCCCTCTCCTCTCTCTCTCTCTCTGTGAAGGACTGACACAGAGGCAGAGATTGACCTAGTCTGTCGCATCGCAGAGGCTTCTGGGGCTTCGGCTGCTGTGCCATGTCATCACTGGGCGAGGGGAGGGCGGGGCTCAGTGGAGCTGGCACACGCCGTGAAGGAAGCTGCGGCTCAGGAGAGTAATTTCCGCTTCCTGTATAGCCTGCAGGTGAGGCTAAAGGCCCTGATTAACCAAGCCACACTGTTTGTATCTTCTGTACTGCTGGTTTTACAGGAAAATTAACAATTTTTAACCTCTCAAACTCTAGGCTTTTTCAGTTATCAGTCTTAAGATTTATAATGCAGTAACTACCATGTTATTATTTAGTAACTACTATACACATGCAATCAGTTACTCTTCTAGGAGCCAGCATTCGAACACTGAAATCACTTTTTGATTGTTGATTGTTATGATATATATGTGTGTGTGTGTGTGTGTGTGTGTGTGTGTGTATAGCAGGAACTCTTAATCAAATTCAAATTATAAAAAACAATTGCAAACAAAAATAAATCATCAGTTAAAAGTTTTGAATCTTAAATTCTGTTGTTGTTATAACTGCAGCTTGTAAGCGGTGTGGTTTTTGCAGCCCTGTACAAAGTGTTGATTTCTGTTAAACATTTCTTGGGTGATCTACACAAGCTGACCAATTCAGCTTTAGTCATGTGAGCCGAGAGCATGGATGGCCTATGGAGAGCCACCAAATATGTAGCACACCTTTGTGAATTTAATTGTGTAGGGCATGTTAAGTAGCCACACTGGTCTTATCTCATAAACAGAGCATGTGAAATCAATGCACAGTATAGTGTTAGAACTCGCCAGCTTAAAGGTGGTCAGAGGAGAGTGAGAGACGTGTGAGTGGGTAGGGACTGCAAAAGGATTGATTTTGCGCTGCTAATTTGGTGGAATTGACCAGTAGAAGCCATCTTGATCACAAAAGTGTCTAGTGTGATAAACAACAGAATTAGCTTCAGGTTTTTATGCCAGCTGTCACACAAATGTATTTATCCTGGAAAAATTAAATAGACTTAGGAATGCGGAGACCTATATCAGATTGAAAAAGCAATCCAAGATAACTGGTTTATGCTATTAGGACTTTAGTGCTATAGAATTAACTAGATTCAGTAAAATTAGTAAGCTGTAGCTGCTTGGAGATTGATTTATTTGAGTTAAAATAGCACTCTGCCGTTAAAGTCTACTAAGGCATATAACACTCATATCTATCTCTCTGTCGATATGTCTCCAGGGTTAACAAAGTTAATCGTCTATTTGTTTGCTGATTTGTTCAATGTTTTCTGAGTAAAAAATAGATTTAAAATGGTTCTTAGCTTGGACTTATTTTTCTAGGAAAAGCTTTTAATTGGTTTAGGACCTTTACATAATGTGGAGATTCTTTGAACTTTAAAGAGGTACTTGACACTGACACATAATTTACAAAATTATATCCTCTCAAACTGTAAGACTTTTATTATATCCGAGGAAAGTTATGTGAAGTAATTATTGTTAATTTATAAGACTGAGAATTCTGCGTTTTGGGCATTTTATAGGTTAAAGAATCATTAATTGAAAGGTTCTTCAGGGAACCTAAAGTGGTTCTTAAATAGTTTCACTCCAAAGGAACCTTTATTTATTTTCTTAATTGTGTAATATTAAAGGTTGCTTTCACAAGCTCTATGCTGTATATGACCAGTGTGCTTTTTATCTGATGTAACATTATGACCAGGTGAAAATTTTTCCACATTGAAGATGTCCCTGGAGTTTTCAACCCCAAGAGACCTTTCAGAGAGCTTTCTTTTTACTTTGTTCATAGTGAGCAGGACTGTAACTGGTACAGAAACCACATGGACTGTAAAAAAGGCAAATAATAACAAACCTACAACATAAAAAAAAAGCACTCTTTAGAAAACAAACCCGCGGCTGACGCAAGCCTAATTTACATGAAAAATTGGCCTAAACCTGGCCCGAAACACTGTATTTTGCTGACCTGTGTTTGGAATATCTCTGTATGAGAACAACTGTTCCACGTTTCAGTGCAACTACAGATCCTCACACCCTCCACCAGTGACTTATGCACACATGGCGATGCCCTGTGTGAGTCTGGGACAGAACCCTTCCGTTTGACTTTTTAAAGCATTGGTAAAAACATCAGCTGGTTTGCATTATACTCAGTGGGTTTGGGAAGTTGTGACTTTGATTAAGGAATCCCATTAAAAGGCAAGGTTTCACGCCAATCTGCTGCTTGTCCCTGTTATCCGATTAGCTGGAAGTCCGGCCTGAGGGAATGAAGATTTATGGGCATCAAAATGCAGGAAGACAGGCCATGCCTTTAGAAATTCAGTCTCCTTTCTGTGACCCCCAAGAGAGGACAGATTTTGTTGTCATGTTCCCTTTTTTTCTGTTTTTCTTATGCATTATTTAAAATATTTTCCACAGACACCCATTGTGGAGAAGATTCGTACAATCGCGCGGAAAGTTTATGGGGCTGATGACATTGAGCTGTCACCTGAAGCCCAAGCTAAGATCGAATACTACAATCAACAGGTAAGAAGGTTACGGTAACACTTGTCTCATATGTTTTTTTTTGGGGGGGGCTTTTTTGTGCTCAGTGTTTAATCATCAGAGTAACACATTCAGAAATTATTATTATTTGTTTATTTTGCCATGTCCTTTAAGTAATACCAGAAATGTTAGTCTGTTTAGCTGAGATTCAACACACAATGAGGTTAATTTACTCCTTACAGGTGCCACATATAGTTCATAAACATTTAGAGTTTGAACTTCTGAATCAGCAAAGTTTAATAAACGAATAGAATGTGTGATAAAATTAGAACACATGCCTCTGGTTTGTCCTCATAGGGTTTTGACACGTTGCCTGTCTGCATGGCCAAGACCCACCTGTCTCTCTCTCACATGCCGGACAAAAAGGGCGTGCCCACTGGCTTCATTCTGCCAATCAGAGATGTCCGAGCCAGCATTGGAGCGGGGTTTATCTACCCGCTGGTTGGAACAGTGAGTGATGAATCTCTCTCTTCTGTATTTGTTTTCTTTTACATTAGTTTTCTAGGTAATATGCATTAGCTTAGAGCAAATAATTAGCAAACATACATCGTAACTAAAGGCGTTTATAAGTCTGTATAAGTGTAAGAACACTGTTTAAAATCTTTTACGGTATGCTTTTAAATGGTGACAGAAAGGCAGGTAGTTTAGTCATTTCTGAAGAATATCTTGGTAAATAAACAGAAATGAGTGTTATAATTTACCTAGATAGTCTCCCAGAATGAAAGCTAGATTGATGCTAGAGTTCAAAGGAGCACTGTTCTAGCTAACTTTCTGCCGTCAGGTGAATGTGAAATGGCTCCAGACTCCCTAGGTGTAGTGCATTACCTAGGTAATGAAGTCTACTTTCAGAGTAATGCAAAAGACATTTCAAAGCCATTTGTGTTTAAGCCATAAGGTACAGAGCTTCCTATAGACATGTAATGCATTATTTGTGTATCAAAGTCAAGCTTAACTTTACAAATCAAGTTTTGCTTGGGGCCTTGGGAAGGCTATGACCGGCACTTCCTGCAAGGTGCTCTTGTGCTTTGCCAGACTGTCTGCATGGGTTTGAAATACTTAGTCTACTTGATGGAAAAATTAGTAATTAGTATTTTTCTATTTTCTGTCTTTCCTCTCTCTTTTTGTTTTCTCTCACCCTCTCTCGTCTGTTTGTGCTTGCCCCTCCCTCTTAGAATGTGCCTGTGTTATCAGCACTACCCTCTCTCACAGTCTTCCAGCTGTTAATTGGTCAGTAATTGAAGTCAGTTGTTTTTGTTGTGCTTGCTAATTGCTTCCAGAATTCAAGTTCCACCTGTGATCTGTGACCTGGCTTGGAATTCTAAAAAACAACACTGGAAAGAAATTCCTTCGCTCCTCTGTTGTTGCTCCCGACATAGATCGGTCTGCCTGATTTCAGTGCGTGGGTGATGGCTTTTTTTAATGAAGCTCCATCAGACCGTGTGCAGGGCTGGAGTGCGTATGATCAAAAGAATGAAAGGTTTGGCCAAGGCTTGTGAAAACAACTCTCATAACATCTGTATTTTGATTGTGTAAAGTGAGGTCAGTGTAGCGTTTGAGTGGCATGGCCCTTCAGTGTGTGCTTTTCATTAATACAGCTCTACACTACGCCCCGGGGTCTTCCTACTTTTTCTTTTGTTTTTCCTAAACCCAGCTGGAATACTGTAGACTTCTCTGTCCCTCTGTTCCGGCCTTGGCATGGTTGGAATCTTGCTCCCTGCATTCCGTCTAGCTTTGTTTACATTTTTATTACTGCTCTATCGTTTAAACACTCACATGTGGTGAATGTTGCCATTTGTTATTGTGCGAATGGAGAAGGTGACGTCATTGTTTCTTGGAAATAGGAATAATTGGTACCTGACTGGCATTTATATTGTCATTCTCAGGGTGTCACATACTTCATGCATATTCATTTGATTAGTTCTGTCATTCTTGCACTGTGAAAGAATTTAGCTTTGGCAGAAAAAAACAGTTGATTTAGTGCTGTTTTTTTATGGGCCCCTGCAAGTGAGAGTGGAAGTCACAGTCTTGAAGCTGCATCCTGCAAGTCATTCCTGATCTGTTGATGTGTGCTGCATACATCTCTTCAGTCTCCCCTGAGGATATATATTCTCTTATGTGTATTTTCTCCTGGGCAAACAGTGTATTGTAACTATGACCTGACCGATATATCATTTGGCTCATATTAGGGTTTCACAGATTTTTTTTTATTAATAATAGCTCACAAAAACATTAGGACATTAGTTTCTTTAGTGTGTGAACAGAGTTCATTTATGCGGTGCTTTTGTTAAATGCAAAAATCAGTGTGCTTTATATTTGTCAGATAAACTGTCAGTAATTTTTACAAACTGCATGCTTCTGCTTCTGGCTTTTACCTTCTAGAAAAACAAACTCTGGACAGTGCCTCAAGTTATACCAGTTCTGTTTGAATTCCAATATTCCATCATATCTTGAGGAGAAAGAGGCTTTATGAAGACATGCAAGGAAACATTTACCTGTGTTCTCTGTGGCCTAAATCAAGCCAGTATGTTTTGTCCTGCCTCAAGTGTACAACTTCTAATATTAAAACATGTAAAATAACAGGAAAAGAAATTGATGTTGACGGTTGGCTGTAGTTTCCCAAACAAAAACACATTTCATTCGAATCTCAGGACTGACCAGGTATACCCGGTTGTTCCCTTCGGCAAGACACAAAACTCCCCACTCCTCAGCTGGTGATGCTGCTTCCAGACTGGGCATAGTTAGGCAAATGTGACACAGCTCCCTTGTAGGATCAATAAAATACATAGTGTAAGCAGCTAAATGTATTCGGTGTAAAACCTTTTTTTGTTGGTGTAAATCGAGTAACCGCTCCCATCTCTGTAACTTGTACTGAGATTTCTTATTCTCTGCGGATTGGTCATAAACATTTACAGGTGTCCTGCTGTAAAATTGCATTACTTCACCCTCCTATAAGTCCTATCACTCAACGAGCACTGTTTAACTGAAACTAAGACTGTGAAAGTTTGCACATACAAAGTTATCAGATGATTTTACTGGCTATTGGATTTTTGTATCTGTGACAGTTTTCATATTGCTATTAAACCACTCTTACTCTTGCACTGATCCAGTTTAGGCAGGGTCATGAACGGGGTGTGTTGATTGGGTCAGGAGTGGGGTAGCAAGTGTGTTTCCGGGCTGTGTGCTGGCTGTGCTGGGCCGTGGTGTCATGGCTGGGCGAGGTGAACGCCCTGTTGCACGCTGGGATGCAGTCTAGGCTCTGCTCTTTCATCTCCACAGAGCTGCTGGTGGCCACGGCTGCCTGGACCAATGACCTTTCACCTCTACACACTACACTGCCAATTCTTTCAACTTTCCGTGTGTTCTCTATTTTTGACCTTCTCTTTTTCTTTTCCTGTTTGTGAGAGTATTCCAGTTTTTTCTTTCCTTGTTGTCGCTCTTTGTCTGTCTTTCTCCTGTCCTTTATACTTAAGCCAACACTTTATACTTCGTATGCCTCTGTCTGTAGAAGTCATCTCTCTGCCAGCATGTCTTCCACTTGACTATTAAGAAGCTAAAATGTAGCTGGATAAGTGCATCAAAGAACTGTCTTTTAAATGTTGTAGTACTAGTACTCAAATGTGCAGTGAGAAAAAGGTTAAAAAGGCAAACATCATTGTACTCACAAGACATAATTTTCACAGGTACTTATTTCTGGAAGTTAGCTGGTTGTGGGGAAGTCTCTAAATAGTGGAATGCCTCTCTCTTGTAATCTGGCTAATGGCAACTGAATTATAATGTAGGCTGATGAATTATTTTATTTTGCATGTCGGTCTAATGGCCCTTTTTTGTCACATTAAAGGGTGAAACACAACAGAAGTAGCAAGGCTACTCTACACTCATTTCCATGGTTAATCGACACCCATTTTCATGGTTATGCTAGTAATGAGTTGACCTGCCTTGTTATTGGCTAATTGCTATTCAAGGTGAAGAGAAGAGAAGAAGGACTTATTCTGAACTATCAAGGAAAAAAAGAAGAAAGCAGGTGTAGGTACTTTGATGAAGTTATTCCACTCTGTCAGCAGTAAAACTGTAGTAACATTACAGTACAGTCTTGCTTCATAGCATCCACCACTTCTGAAACAAAAACCACATCCTTGCCTATGAGCATTGACTGCATGTCTGAATGGCGGTAATTGAGTAATACAGTAATTTGTATGGGGATGTCATACCTCCTATGTTTATTGTTAATGGAATTAGGTGTAATTCTATTGGGAAAAACTGATGTCTTCAATTTGATTTACATGGCTGGGAATGCACAGAGGCAAAATGAACATCCAGATTTATGTGCGTTTTGAAATGTATATGGAAACTGGTTGTTTTGATCTGCAAAAAAAAGCACATGAAAGGGTGTCTTGTTTAGATGTGTGATGGAAGTAAGTAGTGGTGTAAAATACAAAATTCAACTTAATTTGAGTTAATTGAGAAATGTGAGTATGTACATTAGACTCTCCATTTCTTTGTTCTTTGTTTTTCCCCATCCATGGATTGTAATTTAATTGTTTTTATTATCTTTTTATTTATTTGAAAGCACAATATTTGGCTTAGTCATTACTACTAGTCTTGCATTACTGGAATCGGGCAGTATTTGACTCATACAATATTCAGTCCTAATACAAAATTGGCTATTTTTTTTTACCCCATCTGTTTTAAGATTTTATTATGGAAACAATACTAGCTGAGTTTAATACCTTTGTTCTACATTTGAATGATGTTGCTGTATGCTGGCAAACATTTTAGCTGTTAGGAAATATTTCAGATTATGTCAAGAGGTCATGAAGACTGTAATCTTATGCACAGATGTGCATGTGCTAGGGCAGCTTAGCAGCCCACAAAATACAAGCCTCAGGTGAAGAGCAAATAAATGGAGTTATTGTCTTTGTTGCTGTTTGCTTAAAAAGAAAACACAATAGGCTGATTTAGCTGTAAAGAATAAGAGTCTGGATCAACCATAAAATATATTGCCCTAGTTACAACAGTAAAGCAGTTAAGCACTTGTTCCTCTTCTGTATCTCTGTCAGTGAGCAATGGGGCGGGTGAGCCTGTGACCTTCCCCAGTGGTCGTTGGCCCCTGAGGGACGGTGAGGTGGAGGGAGCTTTAGGAAGTGCATGATGTCATTCTAAAGAAATGTTCGGGAGGGTTCAGCCAGAGAACAATAGAGCTCAAGACATTCTGCTTCCACGCAAGTTCTATCTCCGTACACTATAACAGATGTACAGTAACAGTCATGTAGTGAGTCAAAATAATGTTATAGCATTATTACGTTACAGTGACCAATTCCTTTAAGATTTTAACTTTGATATTTAGCCCATTTATATGCATCCTCCATTTATCACCATCCTATTGCTGTAACTTTGCCCCAGGGCATTATTCTGTATTGAAAGTTTATGTCTCTGATGCTATAATTCCATGA